TAAGAGAAGCGTCTAATTGAATCTGGAAACACTTTACGTCTGAAAGCGAATCGAAATGAAATAAAGCTTGAGGATGGATAGCAAGGAGTTCAAGCCAAGCGTAACATGAAGCAGATTATTCAGGTTACGTTTAGTGGGTTTCATTTTCAGCCATATGTGACGACCGATATTTTTAATTCTATCCGAACTCAATAATAACCGAATCTTGGACACCAAATTTTGTGAGCTTATACTTCTCACTGCGATTTTACAGAACTCAGTGGATTTAATTTTCGTTCATTCGTGGATAGGGTTTGTTATTGCGGAAACAAGATCACTGATCCAAAGCTAAACACACCAGATAAGATGTAGATATAAAATACTAGTAAAGGTAAAGTTGCTCTGTGCTTAATTAAGCACTACACCATGAGGACGTATGGGAGAGTGAATGTATGTATCCACATTTTCTTGACCTCGGCACTAGCTGGAGCCCCGGCTGCTTTACCCCCGGAAAAAGAGCACCCAGTACCCATTGAATAGGAGGTTGGGTGGACCCCAGGATCGGTCTGGAAGACGTGGAGAAAATTCTTGACCCCACCGGGACTCGGAACTCCGACCCCTCGGTCGTCCAGCCAGTAACCAGCCGTTATACCGACTGCGCTATCCCGGCTCACCCAGAACACTTGTAACTGATTGAAATTTCAATGGTAAGTTGTTAGAAACAAATTTCGTCAGAAATTCCTGCTTGATGACGTGGAAGGGTGTTTACTGTGCCATTTCCTAGCAACGGTTGACGTACATGTTTCCGTTGGAACATATTTACTGGCCGTTACCTAGAAGCGGCCGTTTCTCCTGACTCCGCTATTCCGGGTTTCAGCCATTATGTCACATTATTATGATTACCGTCTGTCTATTAATGGTATAGGATGAAATAACGTAATGTATTTAAAATCCTGAACTGATGTATAATTATGCTTGTAATTTGTAACAGTAGGTATTGTCATATGTATGAGTGACTACAGACGGGGTTTGGATTGGTGACTCCATTTATTGCACACTTTCACACACGACTCGTGCCTACACTTTACAGTTTACTGTTACACAAATACTTGTGTTCTCAGTCTCTTACAGTCTCCACTAATTGTTTGCCTGGTAACGGCTTCTAAAGGGATTGTCCCCCTTGCTCTGAGTTCCCGAACCATCCCCGTGCCTCAGCTACCAGCTTCTAACAGCAACGGCTCACAAGGACTGAATTGCATTTCCCTGACTAACTTAAAAACCAACTCTTCACTTCCTTGCACTGCCTAATTTTCATTAATTGTCGCTATAACATATCGTCACGGACCGAACATTAAACGCCGTTACTCTGTTGCTGTTCAATTGTTGCTTAGCGAACAGCCCTAAAACATCGTTTTTTCTGTTGCTGTTTAATTGTTTCAATGGGAACATGTTTTCTTAGGTAGTGATTGTTGCCCAACAATGGGTCCACACGGTGCATTTATATTCATTCCTTATTACTAATTTATTCAGTTCCTACGGGGAGAAATTTAAATCTCTGACGAATGAAATTTCTAAAAACGGACGGCTCCTGTATAATCTTTGTGTGAAATTTCAAGAATGCTCCTGTATAATCTTTGTGTGGAATTTTAAGAATGCTCCTGTACAATCTTTGTGTTAATTTTCAAGAATGCTCCTGTATAATCTTTGTGTGAATTTTCAAGAATGCTCCTGTATAATCTTTGTGTGGATTTTCAAGAATGCTCCTGTATAATATTTGTGTGGATTTTCAAGAATGCTCCTGTATAATCTTTGTGTGAATTTTCAAGAATGCTCCTGTATAATCTTTATGTGAATTTTCAAGAATGCTCCTGTATAATCTTTGTGTGACATTTCAAGAATGTTGCCTTACACGTTAATTTATTAGGACTGCAAACAGGTGTGCAGATGCAAAGATGTATATGCTTGCTTTCAAAACCTTCCAATAATTTCACGCAAAAGAGCGATTCCAACTTCCTCCAGCTTAAAAATCGCCGGTGGATCGCAGCTTCATTAGCTGTTTCTTCCTTCGTCTGTTTCCCAAAGCCCATGCGCTTTGTTTCTGAGCCCGGTCGCAAATACCATAATGGAATTTTGAGACACGTGGATTGTCTCCTTGCAGCAAGTTTAATCAATAGAATGTTGTTTGTCAAAAGCCTGTAGTTTCTCAGAGTTTATCAATTTGGTACAGAAGACGAAAGGGAAAGAGTACAAAACACAAACAAAAAAATGCGTTAATTAAAGAAGAAAAATGAACTAAAGCGTAGGTTGAAATGGACTATGAATGCTTTTGTATTTCGTTTTCTTTTTGTTTCTTTCTTTTTTCTGATATATATATATATATATATATACATAGCGGCCGAATAAATAAAGAAGTTGTGGGAATAAATAAAGAGTTCATCGAAGAAAACAAATCATTATAATTGAATACATCTGCAATACTTTCAAGCTCACCAGGATTAAAACTGAATGCGATATATCAGGCTCTGGCCTATGCTGATGATATTAACTTACTTGGGGTTAACACAAATAAAATAAAGAAAATCACAGTAGTCAGGAAGTTAGCCTAGACGTAAACACAGAGAAAACTAAGTATACAGATATTTGATACATCGTCACCAGAATCCAGGGCATAATCATATCAGAATGATCCTTTGAAAATGTGACACGATTCAAATATTTGGAAATTTCAATTAAGGTAAGGTAAAATTGTCCCTTTGACATGTACTGTCTTCGCTCGCTTGGAAACCGGGATCGTGGGTTCGAATCCCACTCAGGGCATGGATGCTTAGTTTGTGTGTGTGCGTTTTCTGTGTCTGTGTACAGGCAGAGGCCTTGCGACGAGCTGATCACCCGCTCAAGGAGTCTAAGATCTAGAAAAACCGAAGTGAACGGAGAGTTTCATGGAAGTAAGCCTAGGCCCAATGGGGCTGTAGTGCCAAGAAAAAAAAATTGTCCATTTGCTTAATTAATTAAGAACTATGCCATGAAGATATATTGGGGAATGGATGTATAGCACTACTATTCTTGATTTCGGCATTAGAGGTGGGTGATCAGCTTCACGCCCCTGCCGCTTTACCCCCAAGGAAGGAGAACCAGGTAGCCACTGGATAGGAGGCTGAGTGGGCCCTATAGCTGGTCTGGACGCTGTGGAGTAACAAATCAAAATTGATTAATGAGAAAATTAAGAGCAGATTGATTTGGATAATGCTTGCTAACATTCAGTTCAGAACCTTTCGTCTTCTCGTCTGCTGTCCAGAAACGTAAAAAATAAAATATATAAAAATAAATTTTGCCTCTAGTTTTGTATGGGTATGAACAGGATGCTGAAAAAGTGCGTAATTAGCAGCTGTATGACACGTACGCCTTCCCATATAATAAAATGATGAAGAAAAATGAGGGTGTGATGGGCAGAGCATGAAGCACGCATAAGAGAGAATCTTATATACCTAGTGTTGGCAGGAAAACATGAAGGAAAGAGATTAGGAAGATCTGAACGTTGATGGGAGGGTAGTATTGCAATAGTTCTTAGAGAAATATGATATAGGAGTATGAATTGGATTCATCTGGCGCAGGACAGAGATCAGTGACGGGATCTTACGAACATGGTAATGAAACTTGTGGTTCAATGAAATGCTCGATATTTCTTGTGTAGCTAAGTAACTGCTGGCTTCTCCAGAAGGCATCACTTCCATGGAACTGGTTAGTTCCTAGTTTTAACATAAATATTTCAGTAATAAACCTAATGAGGACTAATAACTGATGCCTGAAAACGGCGAGTTAATATACGTAATGGAAATGAATACTGTGAAGAGCATATGTTAAGAGCGAGAAGAACATTTTAGAGATGTAAGTCAAAAAATGCATTAGACCTTGATCTAATGCATATTGGCCTTAAGATGTATTATCGTGAATAGAATGTAGACGAATTGGTAATCATTTAACAGACGTAGGACCTTCTGTGTACTTCAAAATTAAATAAATTGCTCCAGATATATGTAAAAGTTCACATGGTCCTTACGTACAGTGGTACTAAAAGTGAAACAGATTAAACTACAACTAAGAAGTCCACGAAGTTCAAACAAGGGCTTACCATAACTTCCTGAAATATCCTGGTGAGGTGACTTGTAGAAACAGTTTTCATTGTCGATAGTCAGGCGATGACGCTTTTCGCACAGAAGTTTAGATCGTAATAAAACATCTATATCGGAGGAAAATAGCAGAAAATGTACACAAAATTGTAATGCTCCCAGTCTGAATTGAAAACGCCATCTGAATATTTCGTGTTTTATCGCACGGCAGCCTACCCAAAATATTCTGGAGGAAAGTCATCTAAAATACCAACAATTAATACAGAAAAGGCGAAAGGCCTCTTGCCTCCGTTCCATCAAGAACAAGCCACGCAGACAAAGGGATCGAGCGATTGGCTGGTTCCAGTAAAAACTAACAGATAGAGATCTGCCACTGATAAGAGGATAACGTCCGGTTAAGACAATTTTTGTGTCCCATGAGTATTCGACAAATAAATTGATCTAAAATCGACCACCACTCCTTCTCTTCGCCACGGCCTGTCCGAAGTTAACCCTCTAGGGCACTGGCTACTACATAAGCTCTACATTTTATCCACTCAGTGTAAGTCTCAGATGGTTATCGCAATAAACAGGGATTATTTTTCTAAACAGCCGGTAAGTGGCTGCACGGTCTAAGGCTTGAGCCTTCTTTGCCCGCTCGAACACTGGGATCGTGGGTTTGAATCTCGCTCGAAGCCTGGATATCTATTTTTACTCTGTGTTTGTGTTGTTCTGGGTGTAGATAGCGGCCTTGAGATGGGCTGATCCCCCGTCCAAGGGGTCATACCGACTGCGTATGGAATAAGAAACCGAAAAAGCGGCCAAGGTCCACAAGGACTGTAGAGCCATAAATACGTGTAGATAGAAAGGACATGGACAAATTAATATTTAAAAAACTTAAGTTAGGTGGTGACAATGAATCAAGTGTGGCTGGCACTAGTTCTGGTAGTGTCACATAGTGCAGTTAGTGTTAGTTCTAAAACTATCGTGCGCCAGGCTAATGAAGACTATATGTCCTTCGGAATCATTTCATTTGGAGAAGATCATGCAAGTCCTAAGTGTGTTGTTTGTGGTGAGAAACTGACAAAGCTCAAGAAGCAAACTATACCATTGACAAAATCGTTGCAAGAGAAAAAAAAGATTAAATCGCATACAACTGCCGAATCAGAAAGTTTACCAACAATCTGTAAAAGAGTAAATATTATGTTTGGCCAGGAATATGGAAAAGAGATTTTGAAAATCCCTATGTCAGATAACACTATTAGTCAGCATATACAAGACATGTCTCAAGATGTTCAGTCACAAGCGATAGCTAACATTAAAGAAGCCGACATTTTTGTCATCCAGTTGAACGAGGGAAGTGACGTCACTGGGAAAGCTCAGCTCCTAGCATTCAGCAGGTTTGTTTCTAATGGTAACATTAAGCCGCACCATAGCTCAAGCGATTAGTCGCTGGCTTCCCACCACGGCGGCCCGGTTTCGAGCCTGGATCTGGTCAAGTGGGATTTGTGGTGGACAAAGTGGCGCTGGGGCGAGTTTTCCCCTGCCAATCTTCATTCCACCAAATTCTCCATCATCATAATCGCCCGGGGCAGGCTACAATAGGCCAATCGGTGGCCGCAGTGCCTAGTGGACCCAGTTGGACTCCACCCCCACCCTCACTAAGCTAATTTAAAAAAATGGAGACATTACTGAAAATTTTTTATTTATTTCAGTTTTCATGATTTGTCATGGAAACCATGCATCAGCATCTGCACGGACGGTGCTCCCTCTGTGTCAGGAAGCCTGAAAGGATTCGAAGTACTGGCCAAGAAAAAGAATCCTGGAGTTGATTTCACACAGGTTCCTGCACAGAGAGACCCTCATTTCATAATTAATAGTATCTTGGGTCCAAAGGTACTGGATGAGACATCAAAATGGTTAACTATTCCTACTGCACACGGAAGTGAGGTGGCTATCTCGAGGGTAGTTGCTTTCAAAGTTCTGTACAAGTGAAGGAAGATCTTATAAAGTTTTCACGTCTAAGAGTCTGAACTGGCTGACCTGCTTAGTTATGAGACCTAGGACAATAAAATTTCTTTCCTAGCTGACATCTCCCAAGCCTTTAACACTAAACAAGAGTATGCAGGGAAATAATAAAAATGTTCTTACTTGTATTGACAAGATTAACACATTTAAGGAAAAACTGACATTGTGGGGAGTCAGAATAAACAGTGAGAACAAAGTTGAAATGTTAAATCTGACAAGAAGTTGCAGACTGGACGAAAATCTTGTCGATTTAATTGTGTGTTATGCACAGACGAGTCAGCAGAAAAAGCTTTAGCAGAAAAAGATGAGCTGACGGATATAAGAAACGACAGAGACTGAAACTGAAGCACTCATCAACAGATATGGCCTCACACTGCTTGTTTCTCAGACAGGAGTACCCCAGCATCACAAAGGAGACTTAAGTACCTCTTCATCTCTCTACATCGTGTCTATGTGAGGCTGGCTTCTCTGCTGTGAACACGAAGAAGAACAATAAGAAGTCGTGGTTTCGAACACTGGAGGAGGGCTTCAGGATATGCTTGTCAACCATCCGACCTCGCACAAGGGACATGTTTCCCACTGATATTTTTATGCTTACGTAAGTACATTTAATGTCTACTCATGTTTATATTTTAAACAATGTTCATCCTGTTTATACTTACTATATATATAAAACATTATTGTAACATTAATATTTGTCATCATAGAACAGACTATTTTATTCAGAATCTGATATCTCATTATTTTATTGAGAAGAAATGACGGTGTGTGACAGAAAGACAGAAATGGGAGGGTTTTTTTTTTTGAAGCCAATGGAATACGTCACAGTTTCTTTTATATAAATGACATCTTTTTCAGTGATATTTCATTTCAATATTTGGAATAATAACAAATATGAATATAAATTTTAAAAATACTTTTTTGAAAACCATGCTCATTAGTTTTAAAAATATCATGATTAAAATTTCAGCTATTGAAATTTAAGCGCAAGCTTAATTGTTTTTTGTGATAAAATATCTAAAACACCTGAAGGTGCGCCTTGATAATTTTAGCGCCTTGTACAACGTGCCATGATTTGAAAAAGGTTGAAAATCTCTGGTCTACAGGATGAAGCCTGGAATAGAACGTCGTGCCTCTATTTTTCAAGACTTCCTGAACCTCCTAAGCCTTTAACAATGATACTCCATTTAATGCCATTAGACCTAAAGAATTTAAATCGCAAAGTGTAAGAGTGTTTATCAGCAGGATTTCCCCCGAAAGCCATTCAGGATGCATGTCCTTGGCCTGACAGTTCAAAATGTCACGGGAATCACCGAATGGAGAAGAAGCGCCTTGCTGAGGCAATTAAATGAACTACATAACTTTCCAGACATCTACAAAATTGAACAGTTGCCTCATCTGTGTTGTATTATAAGCAGCATGTCAGCGCTCCCTGTGCTGTGGGACACTGATTGTGGCCATCTTGACCGAACTTCCTGCCGACCTGCATTCTGTAGTCTCAGAGAACACGCTCGAAATGCAGAATTTGTCGCTTCCTCTGCTGCCATATGGAAAATGATATAAGAAACAACCCTGTCAGAGAATCCATAGTAAATCCAGGGGTCAGCAACCACCAAATATGGACAGAACATGATATTCAATTTAACCCATCCAACCACAATGAGCTCCCTACAAATCTTTCAACGATTATACCCCTTATGAAGGGATAGGGCAGGCCAAACTTTCTAAACACACGCTTGTTATATATATATACATTTTTTTTTACTGCAATTGCGCTTATGCACGGTGGCAATGTTTACAAAAACGGACATACATTCAACAAAGATACAGCACATACGTCTCAAGAAATTTCACAGTACAATACAAGTACAATGACCTAATACAAGTACACTTCACTTCGCTTCACTTCACTTGCCCTACTGATTTTGCTTTCCTAACCTTCTTTCTAAATATATGAGCTTCAACGAGGGGAGTCCCAATCACCCCTTCAGGTAACTGGTTCCAGTCAGCGATGTTACAGCCCCTTCCACAATATTATATTCAACCACTGTCTGATCATTCTTCAGTATATTATTTTGTATCTAACCGAGGTTCTATACAGTAACACTCCAGGCTAGACCCGCGAGTTGTCCACAACACAGATTACACCTGTGGGTTTGCCCAAGAACAGTTCAGTGCAAAATATCTCTCGGTCTACCACGAACAAAACTATCGACAGGGAAACGGGCTTATCTTCATCCGCACGAGACAGATAAGCCTGAAACCCTTCTACTGAGTTGGTGGGGAAGGGCTCAATACAAATTCTTCACTGGCAACGAAATCTCGGCGTTCTACCCCTAAGTTGAAAACGATGAAACCACAGATCTCTGTACATCACAACGCTGACAAAGTACAGAGGTAACACACTGCAGGAAGATCCTACGCCTAGTCTACCTAACTTAAACTATCCTAATCCTACACATCAAAGTACCCTGCAGTGCCAACAATCAGAACGTATACATGTGCAAAACTAGACTCAGCAGACTCTCAATTCTCACACGGAGCAACAAGTGGTTATGTTTTCAACCAAAATGTCTCATTCAATTATCCCCTGCAATTCATGCATAACCAGATCCCACCAACTTTCAACAACGATGTATAAAAGGTAGCTTGATAAATTTCTAATTTGATTTGCATTTCGTATGACTAGAAGGTAACTCGATTGTCTCTAAACTGTTTACATTTTGTATGGCATGAAAAGGTTTTCCAAAGTCTGCAGGCAAGCTGCTTCGGTTGCAAGAAGTTCATGGAAGTCCTAGCCTTACCTCACTTTGCCACGATAGTTCCTTTGAATTGCTCATGGAGCATGACAGATGTCACTCCTTCACTCCGAGAATATGTTCCATTCTTATAGTACCTAGGACTGCAGGTCCCGGCCCACCTAAATTTTTGTACGTATTCGTGACTGTGTTTTCCCCGCGTCCGGTATTCTCCCTCCCCCTATTAAAAGTCGGGACATTTCTTTCGGCCGCTGAAGGTCATCCCCCCTTCATTTATTACGACGAATAAATATATATTGTTAAAACAAATACGTTAGTGCAGGATTTTAGTTTTATATGGATGCATTTGTTGCAGGTGGGTACGTGGAACATTGTGCGAGGGCCAGCCCTATAGATTAGTTGTGCGAGGTGATGTAATGGGCTTTACCCGCTAAAAGAAATTTCTCCTACCATAGCACACAACCGTACCTCGAGAAAACCAAATGTTAACATTTTATTTTTTTACATCTGCGTTATTTTAACAAGATTTTGCATAGGAGGAGAGTGTGAATGGGTGGATTTAGGTGTGTGTCTTTGGAAAGTGTGTTGGAGAGTTTGTAACATGAGTGCAGTTGAAAGTGTCGTGTAATCCCTTGTAAATACAGTTAGCAGTAATTTCAAGAGCATAAAATAATATAATTTTAGTGCCGGTGTAAAAGAAATACCGTACATGAAAGTCCAGACCATTTCTGACGACCACCCAGCCTCCTTTCCAATGGTTACCGGGGACCTTTCCCTGCGGGTAAAGAGGCCGGGGCGTGAAGCTGACCACTAACCTCCACCTAGTGCAGAGATAAAAACATATACGGATCTATACATCCACTCCCACACGTCTCCATCGCGTAGCGCTTAAGTAGGGAAGCACAGCGACAAATTTACCTTTGCCGCATTTGAAAACGAAGCCGGAACAGCTCGGCCCGGTATAGCGACGTGCTGAAAGCTGAACGGCTGGGGTTCGATTCCCGGCAGGAGCAAGAGATTTTTCTCTTCTTCACAGCGTTCAGACCGGCGCTGAGGTCCACCCAGCCTCCTATCCAGTGGGTAGGGGGAACTGTTTCTCCGGAAGTAAAGCGGCCGCAGAGTGAAGCTGACAACGCACCTCCATCTAGTGCCGAGACCAAGAATAGTGGAGCTTTACCTCCACTCCCCCATACGTCTTCGTGGCCTGGCGCTTAATCAATTAAGCACGGGGGCAAATTTGTTTTTAACGTATACGAAAATAAACAGTTGAAGAAGTGTCGCGCTCCATTTAATTTCGGAGTGATTCAGAGATTAGATCTATTAAGGCAGTGTTTCTCAACCGCAGGGCCGCGGCCCAGTACCGGGCCGTCTTATAGAAAAAGAAAACACCGTTCCTCTGTTCTTGTTTACAGGTCGTTGTCTAGTAACGGTCATTATACAGTTGTTTATTTCGCTGTCGTTACCTAGCAACGGTCTACATGCCACAATAGTATTCCTGAAAAAGACAGTGGCAGCCTCTATAGAGCATGTACAGAATGTTTTGGCTTAGGTAGTAGTTGCTCATTCATGATGCTGCCGCTACTTTAATGGTTCAGACTTCTACATTCCTCACCGCTCTCAAGATTAGTCTAGTACTCGCCTGTGTTCTTAGCCATAGGCCATAGTGAGGCACAGCCCCTTTGTTTAAAATGTTTTTGACAACATGAAATGTACCTTAAGTTGCTTAAAAAAATATTAAATAAAAACTCTTAAAATGTGAACATTTAAATAAGAACAATTTTTCACCCCTCTTCTTGAAATACACTGTGGAAAGAAGCCAATTTTATTCGGTCCTGGCCCACCTGTTCAGTCAGTCAGAGGCCACCACTGTACAGGATCCTCATGAGAGTGCCTTCTCAGTTATTTGTAACAACTTCAACTTCCTCGTCTTTGTATATACTGGATAGATCCCTCACTCATATAAACATCTCATTTTGGAATTCTAGGTGCATTAAGTCCAAAGAATGTGGATTTCCCAATTACCTGAAATTTTAGTTTATTTTTATTTTTTTAGTTTCTTGGGGTAGGGTGAGACTGAGTCCACTTGGCATGTCGGACACTGTTTGGCCTATTGTACCAGCTCTGAATGATAGATGACAAGTGCAAAGCAGTCAGTGGAATGAGAATTGGCAGGGGAAACTGAAGTACTCAGGGAAAACCTGCACAAATGCCACTTTGTCCACCACAAATCATACGAGTACATTTCCTGAACTAGCGTCAAACCTGGGCCCACCTGAACAGTGTACTTCATAAATCCCTCTCATCAGTCTGTGTGTCTGTATCTGTATCCCCCTTATTGTTGCTGTGCAGTGGCTCAGTAAACATGTTCCCATGGCAGCGAATATACACAACAATAAATGAATTGTTCAATGCATTATTTTCTATGCAGTTCATGCCATATCAAAGGAAAGTTGGTGATTAGTTCTTCCCAAAACTTCTTCTTGCATCACTTATGTACATTAGTGACCATAACATTGCTCAGGCTATGAACCTGTAACAAATATTTATATCTGAGTAATATGAAAATGTTATTCATGAAATTATAACTCCACAGTAACAATTTGTAAATGTAATTAATTACATCTGACTCATTCATATTAAAATACAAACAATGTTCTTTATATATAAAATATTAAACAATCAGAAACTATGCACACACTTCATTCAACTGGTTCAATATTTCTTCAACACATTCACAAGTCTCAATGCAGTCTCATGCTTAGGCTTTAACACAGCTCACTTTCAAGCATTCATCACTATGTAACAAGAATGACAAATTCTAATTATACATATTTATTGTCCGTCATTTCTCTAATGAAATGTTTTGTATTTTACACAACTATGCTTCATAATAATTCCAAATGGCAGTGATTCACTGTAATCCTGCTCCAGTCTGAACACCGGTTCAAACACTGAGATCAGAGATAATTATGCTTAAATGGTAAATTTGTGCTTCTGAGAAAGGCACTAGTTAAGCTATGATTCAGTTTGAAGAGACAAAGTTAGAGGTATCATTCATGTGTCAGCCAATATCTTGACTGGTTCACAGCAACAAAGACACAGACAAAAGATTAAAAGTGATGACAAAAATAAGAGCTTAAAAACACTTAGCTGAATGTGTATAATAACACAAATCATGGAATACCAACATATCTCATAGGACATTTAAGGCCAGTAATACAGTTCAATTAATTACTAAATTGAAGACAAAATGGAAAGACCATATAAGTTAAGACAGGGTGGTATGGAATTATAAAACTATAAAGATACGAGTAGGAAATAGACAAGGTGACAGTGAGGCCAGCAGAAACATTGCACTACTTAAGCCATCAAGGCAAAGATTAACAAAGTTACAGTATATCACATATAGACAATTCCTGCTGCCAGCCCATATACAAGAGTGATTCAACAGACATTTTTTTCATCTGACAATTTTGCAGGATTCATACTTGAAAATGCATATTATTCATCCAAAGTTATAGTTCAAAATCAGAAATTCATATATTTATTAACGTGAGGATGGACAAAAAGTAAAAGCATGATTTTATTTCAGTCACAATTAATGAATCTCATTACATTAAATATAATAATAAAGGAAACAGAACACTCAAATACAGGCTTACCATATTCATTCACATGATTTCCCCTATTATGTTATATCACAATTTGCCTTGGGAGAAGTTTGTCAGGGTTGTCAGATTATGTTCAGTCTTAGGAATCACCTCTGCATAATTGTTAGCCACACATAAATACTGTGACATGTTGATCCCTACCGCCCCAGCTCCACGTAGCGGTAAATTAGCCCTCGCGTAATAGGCGAGTAATCACCCCGCAATGCGCAACGCGCGGTGACGTCACGAGCGGAGCCGAAGAGAGCCGAGCGGAGCCGAAGATAGCCGAGCCCCGTAACCTGGCAACTACGCAATGCTAATCAACAGCGGTGATGTCACGCTAGCAACAGCGTCCTATGCTATCCGCCACGTCACACTAGCAACAGCGCAAGGCTATATAAGCGGACCCACAGCAGTGTGATGATCAGTCGAAACATAGCAGCCTGCGAGTGTGCGACAACTAAGAAGTCAGCGAGCGGAAGACTTATTGTGTGCTTTCCAGACATAGTGATTGCTGTAGTACAGTTATACGCAGAGTGTGTATCTCAGGGAGACTTGTATAGCTCCCGCGTTATTAGTCCGTGAAGACAAGTGAAGACAGTGTTAAGAGATTTGTTGTAGGGTTTGTAAAGTGTGGAAACCCATGATATTGTGATAATTAATTGTAGCCGTTATTTGTAGATTGTTCAATAAACCAGTTAACGATCTCTATGGCATATTCAGTAACGAAACACGTTACAATACTAAAAAGCAGGAACACCCCCATGGTACAGCCCTCAAAGTGGGAGAAATATGATAGTTAACAGGTTTAAAATCACATACAAAGATTCATACCCTAGATAGTGCTACATACATGCATCACTGTGAGTCTAGACGACAAATATCGCATTTTAATGGCTAGTCCCACCATATTAGTAGATGTAATTAGATTCTAATCACATTATTCCCTCAAGGTTTTTTTTTTGTGCTAACACTTTGTCATCAAAAGACTTTACTATTCTTTGAAGTCCTGTCATCATTAGTGTGAGTCATTGCTGGATTGATAGGACTCCTACTTTGTATTCAGGGGTTCTGGGTTAAATTCTCAGCCAAAGTTTGGCTATTTAGGCTAAATTTATTTACATTAGTCACCTCAGTCCTACAGGAAAATGCTACAATTCATCTTACCACTTCTTTCTGATCCATCATGCACAGTCAGCCATCCGTTCAGAGTAGCTGAGGACACATTAAATAAACAAAATAATTTTTTTTGCCATGTAAGTAATTCAGTAACATTTTTCTCATTCCTGTTATGACATAAACAATCTGGTGGAAAAGGTGAAATTTTGTGACTAACTAACGTTCAGTGACTTCCTAAACAAGGAATATAATATATGCTGAAAACCCATTCATATCTCAGTCCTTTAATACCAAATTTATTTTTGCATAGGTTCAAACAGACAACGGTTGCTTGAACATTTATATCCAAATAGGTAGACTATAATGGATAACGTTTTTAACTGTGAGATTTTTGTTCATGCTATATTTAATGATCAGGTAGGGGCATAAATTTGTCTTTGTTTAAAGACTTTGAAATCTTAATATAACTATACATTTTTATAATGAAACTGGCTGGCACCAGGTTTCGAGTCTTCACTGGATCACTTAATAGTTTCCTAAATCTTACATTGCAGTCTCCAATGGCTGGCTTTTGCTTCTATTAAATGATGGAGATCCCTGAAGGGGGGCATAGTCATCTAAGTTGGTTTCTAGCATAACTTCACTCTTTGAACGGACAGGCACAGGCTGTTCATCTAAATTAGTCTCAAGTATTGCCTCACTTTTAGGTCTTTCTATTGGTTCACTGTCTATATCAGTTTCCAAAAGGCTGGTCCTCCCTGTATCATAGTCAAAAGGAAAGTGAGCAGGTGGCTCTGGTGGCAGTAATGGGAACTCCCCTTCAGGGTGGAAATTATCATCGAATGGTAGTGGTGGATCTGGTGGTTCACTGTAACTTGTATCCTGTGGCTGATATCCTGCTTGGCCACTGTAATCTGATCCTTGCTTCACATTGAAAGTGAAATCAGCCATAGCCAGGCTAGCATCCAGCGGAAGAGTTGACGAATTATGAATGTCATCAGGACCTGTTGTGTTGTCATCGTCATTGTATTCACTTATAGTTGCTGAAGGCTGCCAGTTGTCATGAGATGAAGAAAAAGTTGAAGTATCCCTGAAACCTTCATTCCTGTATGCAAGGTCAAAACTGGGATTCAAAGCTTCACTAGTAGGTTTGGCGGGGAAGTTGGACGCATAACCATTGAAGTTTTGAGCTGCAGCATTGGGATTGTGAGCCTCATATATATCATAGCTGTGGCTATCTTCAGCTGATGAGTTAAACTGGGATTTATCCATTGAATCAAAGCTGCCATTCATCATTTTCTTGTAATCTGGTCCCTTTGCAAGAGTAGGGCTGGACCGCTGGCTCTGCAAACATTTAAATTTACTTATCACTGTATATGCCATGCTAGACAACTAAACACTTATAATGGTACAACATAGAAAGGAGTATACAAGTGTGACTTACAGTTCTGAATAGCGGCCTCCGTAGTCTAGAGGTAACGTTCCCACCTCATGACTCGTGGTACGCGGGTTCAAAAACCCGGTGGAGGTCGTCGAATTTTTAAGGGCGGAAAAATTCAGGGAACAAGTCCTCCGGGAGGGACTTTAAGCCGTGTGTCCCATGTCGTATCTTTACGGCACGTAAAAGAACCTCATATCTCCAAAGGAGGTCACTGAGCCAAATTCAAGGACGTTTCCCGCCCAACAGTAGTCTCTAACGCCTCTGATAGATGGTGGAAGCATTATAGACACCACCAAGCCAGTGGAGGCCGAACTCGCTGGCTCAGCGGGACTGATGGTACGCACCAATATCGGTAGGGTATAGAGATTGGTAGAATATCATAGAGGGAAGCACAATGGACCAATACTGGTCTAAGTGCATGGGGAAGCCCACCCTCTCCAATAACTAACTAACTAACTAACTACGGTTCTGAATAGGAATGGTAAGGATAGGAGATAATGAGGGCTACAAACATGTTTGCCTTTTAAATGGCATTTTGACTGATTACAGAAAGAAGGTGAACCATTTCAAACCTCATCAAAAACACAGCCAAAGGAGAAGAAAATCAGCATTACAACAAAGAATCTTAATGAGCTAAAAAAGGGATATTACTGCAGGGACCTCTGAAGATGGCAAATAATACCCCTACTTTCCAATCTGACAGAAGAAGCATTGGGATACAAACTATATTGGTTCAAGATCTTAAATAATAGACATTAATAAGATTTTTAATCTAAATAACTGTAAATAATTCTTTATATAATAACCTCTAAATATGTATTACAAGCTTTCTAATAGGAGTTCCTAAACATGTTGATTTTATTGCTTTCTGAAGACGGTCACAGCTAATCAAAACATTTAAAGGCATTAAGTGTCTATAAATTGAATCACACTGGACAGTGTTATCAATTATTCTATAATATGACCTAGTACCTTAAACCAGACCGTCATTACAACCTTCCACATTCCTCCTAATTAATTTTATGCTATACAGCATATGGAATTGAGAAGGTATAATTAAACATACTACAACAAGAAACCATAAACCCATCAAGTGTAAATCATCCAGTCTAACAAAGTGAGAAACACTTGCCAGAATAAGTTTGTATATCTTATTACATCATCTATTTAATCCATTAATTCTATATGAAATGCAACCAAGAGAAGCTTACAGAAGTTGGTTTCCTTCTGATTCCAATATCTGTAAATCCACCATGATTAGATGCCAACCCAACTGAACGAATTGAGTGCAGTGACTGACGAATTGAATTTCGTCGTTCAAGACGCTCCAGGTGGCGATGGCGTGATTTACTGTACCAGAAACCAGCAGCTAATGCTACCAACAGAAGAGCACCTCCAACTGTCCCCAGCACAGCAACAGTCACAACATCATCCCTCCAGCTAAGAGGATCAATGAGAACCTTGGGATCTGAAATAAAAAGATAATTTTGCTAACGTTATTATATACAACTACCACATGAGTCACACATCATGTATTGTCCCACTTCCAGAAACCTACAGATTCATGACAGAATACCTAGCTGAATTGTACTTTCTCACTGCATTACAAGTTAGTTTTCTAAATAAAATGTTAACAAACACAAGATTCGTAAGTCTGGAAATATGCCGTAGGAAAGTAGGCTTTATAGGTAGGCAAATGTGAGAATAATTCTTTCAGTTCACGATGAGATGAAGACGAGAATTTGGGAACATTTTGGGAATTTTGATTGGAGCAAAAATTTTCTCTGCAAGATATGTTTTTTTCAGTGATCACAATTTATAACATTATACACTTTTTCTTGAACAACCTGTAATTTGGTATTGCCAATAATGGGATGAGTTGGTGGTCTGAAGAGTGGTGATGCTGCATCAGAAAGAGAGAGACATGCAATGTAGGCAGAAAGAAGGGGGGAGGGAGGGGAAAGAGATAGAGAAATTTTACTGACAACTATCACATTTCTGATGGATCAAGTGGTCTGCTAATGCACAAAGCAAAAGTAATTATCAGAAACTTCCCAAAGTTCAATACTGAAAAATCAATGTCTGAAATGAGAGAGAGATAGTTTATATTTTGATTCAATTTTAAAAATTTGATACTCACATGGGCCCACCTATGAGTTCTGTTCAGAACTCCTTGCTCCATTCATGCATAATTACAACCTAATCTAACCTACGTTTAGAATACCTACATGCATAATTTTTGAGGATGTGACTGGTGGGTGTTCCAAAGAAAATTTGGATGGCAAACAATAGTAGACTAAAAAAACTTTTTAATTCTCTGAACCAGACAATACACATAATGAATTTATGACATGGTTTACTCACCGATCTCACAGAGGAAGGGACTAAGCCTCTGACAGTTATCAACTTCGACAGTCTGGTAGGTGAACACTGTGCAGCTATGAATCATATCAATGTGCTGAACCCAAACACGATCATAGTATTGATAATTCTGCTGCTGGTGTCGCAGAAATTGGTAGAGTCGTAGGTAGTTGCTCATCACATATGGCATTGATGCATTGACAGACTGGAATCCAATATGACAAGGACAGAAATTTTAATTCTTCTATCCTCTTCTCTGCTAACTTAGGAGCTGAAGTTCTGAACACTACCTACTGAGTGAAACTGGACAAGAAGTTAGTTATGAAAACTTTTATAGTAATTTTGTTCCATATATGAGGGAGAGTCAGTAAATAGGTCACAAATAGAAGTCAAACTGTTGTAATGGAAATAATAGTTTTCTGTGTGCATCACTAGGTAGCAGCACTGTCCAGCTTCATGAGAGTCTAGGTAGCACTCAGTAAATATGGGAAAATAATACACTGTTTATAGCTAGGACTACAAAGACTATTCACTAAATACAGAGCGTTTTCCTAAATGTGGAAAACCAAATTGGGATTTCACTGTAATTTACTTATTGGAAAGCAGATACAATGTACCTATTAAAAAGAATTTTTGTAATAATTTTGAGGCACATATTTTGAATCCTTCTGAATTTTTTTGAGTATAAAGAATCTACTGGTATGTCAGTGGGTTATGTATAATAGTTTCCTCGATGTGGGAAATGTTGTGAGACTGGAGACATATCTTTCAAGATGTAATATATATTGAGATAAAATAGATTTTTAAAACATTTCATGAAGTATGTTAGTCTTAATTGTCTGGCTTGCACTGAAATTAAATTTCATCAGTGACTTTCATTCAGTTTCCAGTACTAACTGAAGAAACACTGTGGTACCAATATCCAGAGATCAGTACCAACATAGATGGATATGATGATGAGCCAATTACATGTACCTCCCATCCCTACAACCTGTCTCTCTAAGACCCATCTTAAACTACATAAATCTTAGTTCAAAAGAAACTACGATCACTTTTTTATACATTTTTTAAATTATGTGTCACGGTCATCCTATTCAGTACCACACAAGCTGTAGGGCAAATAAAATATCATTAAACAAATCAGGAAACAAATCAGAAGGCGCTTTCTTATATCTGCAAGCGGACACTCACCCGACAGAATGAGCGAGCATCTTCAAATCCCATGGGAGCCCCAATGTAAATATAACAGGTGTCTCCAACTTGACTCCATCCAGGTGGACACTTTCCATTCAAGATGCTTCTATTATTCATATGGAATGGTCTGAAGTCCACCTCCAACAAATCTGGCTCATCACTGTGATCACATATACGACCCATCACAGCAAGGGTCTCGTTGTACCCCCACCAGTTGTGCTTTGCATCAATTGGGGTCTTCCACACATCGTGACTGCTACAAGGAGGACAGACACACAGCAGATTAGTTAAGTAGCTTCAAAAGCTTGTTAGAATATTTGAAGTAAAACTTACTGATCAGTTAAGCACAACAGGAAGTTCCTTCAGTGCATATTCTACCACTGACAACTGACCAAGTGAGCTAGGTGAACTCTTGTACAGTGTTGTCTGAGTCACCATAAGTTAGTAAAAATTATTTGATTACAGACTGTAAATCTTGGTTATTTATTCTTTCAGTCTTCTCTTGAAGTAGTGAAGAAAGAGTGAAAAATTATACATTTTCTAGAAGAATGCATTTACTCTAAGACACATGAGTCATGCATAATTCATATATTTGTATTAAAAGAGAATTCAAATGCAAATCTGTGGCAATTACAGTGCCACCTGATCATAGTCTCTATATTAGTGAAGGGCGTGTGAAAAATAATATCTTTTTTGGATGAAAATGTAGATTACAAATTATCCGTGAGGGAATACACTAAATGCTGTTTAAAAATGATAACAGAATCATAATTACGACCTCCTGAATTCAATTCATGTGATTTTTACTTGTGGAGAAGTCCAAGAAGGAAAAGCACAAAAAAAAAAACAATCCCTTGAATGGAAAAATTTAAGCCTTTCAGATATTTCGTTAAATAAGCAAGCTCTGGCAATTAGAGGTTTTGCTTCTAACATGAAGTTTCCAGATATAAGGTATATTCACAGCATACTGGAATGCTTTATAATATATGCACTCAACATCATCGCTTATATTTGTTCATAAGTATGTAAATAAATACATTCTTAGTGACTGATAAACTGCTGAACAATAAAACTAAGGAGATGGTATAAAGACACTGAATTCAATTTTCCCTTATTTCCAGCTTGTGGTATATTCTCTTCTTGCAGAAATAAAGAACAAAAATTGCTCATATAAATAGACCCACATTTTGGAATAGTATACAAACAAATTAAAGGCACTGTGATGTAATATGAAATAAATAATGTCCTGATAAACATAAATAGATGCCCTGTGACAGAAAGGGTTAAAAAAACTTTGAAGACGAAGTGACTCAAACTATGTGTCAGATGAACTGTCAGGTACACCTAGTACCTTTTCTGACTAAGCTATTATGGAAATATTCTGGTATGGATATTCATCGTAAGATACCACTTAGAAGAACAGTAAGAAGATAAGTGGACTATTTTAAAATAAATGTTAAGGAAGCATACAGTGATGGAATGAAATAGAATAAATTGAATAGGAATAGAAAAAAAAAATATTTTTGTGGTGACAGTTATGAACTCTAGTGTTCTGGTTGAATACATTCACTAAACATGGAAGATTTTATATCAGAGATGAAGTTACTAGTTCAACAGAAACAAGGCATAAATGTATATAATGAGGTATGAGTGAATTTATCATGTAGCATATTCACTATATTTCAGATGTTCCTTCTAGAAGGAAGCTTCCTGTTAAAAGCAAAGCCTTGAATTGCAGAAACTAGCTTATTCCGCTAAATTTCAACAAACACACATAGTATATTATATATACATAATGACTGCCTAAGTTATTTATTCACACAGTGGGACTATACACACAGACATGCGTGCGCACACACACACACATACACATATACAATAATACACAGTACAACAGTCAGTGGTGGTTAGTCCACTCAACCTCAATGGACAGTGCTCCACAAAATTATAAATGTAAAATATTCTGGATTACAGGAATTTCCATTACAGATATATGCACATACAAACTTATATTAATTACATGAAAGTAATTATATGTGTTACTTCACTGTTATGTATGTCCTGAATATACAAAAAGATAGCTTCTGTAGTTGCAATATTTTATTTTAAAGTAAAATGGTAATGGTGAAATATATTGCATTTGAAAGGGTTAAACTCCAGCAATATTATCAAGAATGATCGATTATTTTTATGACAGACAGTCACTAACAACACAATTAAAACAGCAATAATTTCATGCCTTAGAGAATATTAGAACTGGTATAAGCAATTACTCTTAGTACTGTTCAACTGGATTCATGAACTGAGAATTAAGCAGAAACACATTAAATGAAACATATTTTTTCATAAGGATTATTGCAAACATGTATGAGTATATAAGATTTGAGGTTTTCACAGCGGTGACTATGAAGAAAGCAGTCTTCTGGGATTTGGCACCATGCATATGTGGTGTTAACCGACCTGAAGATGGAGGCGATACGTTCCTCCGAAACGTCGGTTAACACCACATATACACAGTGCCAAATCCCAGAAGACTGCGTTCTTCGTGTATGAGTATAATTTGTCAATCAGTTCAATATTCATTTTATGAAATTAATGTGCCAAGTAGACCCATTGCAAGGCAACAACCATGAAAGAAGCAGCTAGACAACAGCCATTACTGAGTAACAGCTTTACAAACAAGCATGTTTACACAACAACTATTTGAAACAGCAACAGAGAAATGGTTTTTTCTGTGCGATCCATGCCGAGATGTTAAAACAGGGCAGTTAGTGAGAATCGATAGTTGGAGCAATGTGTTAGTTGTGACACAGTTTCCAGCCAGTAAGAACATGAGCACAGAAGCAGAGGAATCCATCACCAGGCAGTGACTGGTGAAGACAGCAAACTGAGAACACTTCATATACACATATGTGCCTTAGCTACAGTGATCTTTGAAGTGTGTAACTCAGCAAGACTGTCATAGCTATTTGCAGTTAATTTCTGTATATGAAGAAAGTCGTCTTCTGGGTTTAGGCACCGTGTGTTCTTCGTTTTGGCTGACGTTTTGGAGGAACGTAGCGCCTCCATCTTCAGAGCAGTTGAATAGCTACTGCTCTCTGCATTCCAAGCTATTCAACTGCTCTGAAGATCGAGGCGCTACATTCCTCCAAAACGTCGGCCAAAACGAAGAACACACGGTGCCTAAACCCAGAAGACGACTTTCTTCATTGTCATCGCCGTGAAAACCTCAAAACTTACAATTTCTGTATATGTTCAATAAATCTGATTACCAATAGAAACCCCATCTATAGTCACTCTAAAATTGTGATTCTATTTATTTAGAAATATAATTTTCATTCAGCTGTGTATCTAACATTTTAAATTTTGAAATAATGCACTACATTAAAAAATAAACATGGTCATTTAGATTCTAATTGACTGTATGGTATCAGACATTCCTAGGAATGTGTGATTTTAGATGAATGTTATGAAACCACAGAGATTTCTAAAAGAGAGTGAGAAAAAACAAATCAATTCTTAATCTATTTCTGCACATTGTATGAGCCTAACAAGTGAGAATTAAATTAGACAATCCTTTCTTTCAGAAACCAAGGATCATACAGAATATCTCCTATTTATGTCATGTATAAATCAGCAGATATAAGAAATATTATTATTTAAGCTTTAATAAAAGCTCCCATACATGAAACTGCCAAATGGGTGTCCCAACGATTACAGACCAGTATTAGTCAATTATTTTTCCATAAATAGGTTGATTGAAATCTTCATTTATACCAGTCAATAATTTCTAGTTAACATCATAGTTTATGCATTTTATCACACTTAGAAGATTTCTCTGTGTTTTCTGTTCAGAAATAATGGTTTGTGTTCAACACTGCTGCTTTTTCCTAATCTCTCTTTTACAAAGATTAATGGTTTGACTAGCTGAATTGTAAGCAATGTACATAAAGTTTGGGCCTGGTTGCTCAAGCATTGATATAGGACCATGTTACAAACATATTCTTGGACAATGGATATATCTGATAACCAAAACTATTTCATATGCTCTCCTGCACAATTTTTAATTGTGAATGTTCACTGAAAGTGATTATGTTGCCCCTTCAATTTTAATGTCACATAATTTATTGTATCATAAATAATTATGTTTAAAAGTGCTAGTAATACACAGGATTTGTAGCCTATTATCTGTACTGTGCTATGTACAACATACTGGGCATCAGAAAATCCACCATTCTCTTATTTGCCTGTGAATCAGAAAAGGTTGAGAACCACTATTTTAGNGAAATTTTCATTTATACCAGTCAATAATTTCTAGTTAACATCATAGTTTATGCATTTTATCACACTTAGAAGATTTCTCTGTGTTTTCTGTTCAGAAATAATGGTTTGTGTTCAACACTGCTGCTTTTTCCTAATCTCTCTTTTACAAAGATTAATGGTTTGACTAGCTGAATTGTAAGCAATGTACATAAAGTTTGGGCCTGGTTGCTCAAGCATTGATATAGGACCATGTTACAAACATATTCTTGGACAATGGATATATCTGATAACCAAAACTATTTCATATGCTCTCCTGCACAATTTTTAATTGTGAATGTTCACTGAAAGTGATTATGTTGCCCCTTCAATTTTAATGTCACATAATTTATTGTATCATAAATAATTATGTTTAAAAGTGCTAGTAATACACAGGATTTGTAGCCTATTATCTGTACTGTGCTATGTACAACATACTGGGCATCAGAAAATCCACCATTCTCTTATTTGCCTGTGAATCAGAAAAGGTTGAGAACCACTATTTTAGTCCACTAGATATTAAGCAAAAATGATTTCACTTTAAGCAAAATATGTCAGATGAAGCAATGCATTCCCATCACCAACACACATAACCAAGTTCTGGCCTTACCTATTTATACCTGCACTGTTGTTTGAGATTGCAGCCAAAACCAAAAACCAAAAACAGAAAGAAGAACCATTTCATATCCATTACATGCTTCTAAAATAGGTTAATAACCAGAATTGAAATAAACTGTAGGTTCCGTTGCAGTGAACAAGAAATCCTTCTTCACGTATACCATTTGTGACACAAGAAAGTTCTTTTATATGCCACAAGCCTTAAAAATTTAATCAAGAAAATAATGCAGTTGTATATTTCCAAACTGTGTATTTAATTCCGGATGCTGAGAATTTTCTGAACAGGTCTTCTAGCATTCATGAAATAAAAGTTATTTGGAATGTAATTTATATAATTGATTTTTAGTAAATTTAATAACAGATATTTTTATGTGTGAAATTAATTTCCTTGTTATGTCTATAGGTGAATATAGGTTAAAAAATTTTAACATGAAAATCTGAAAAAATCACAGAAAACAGATTGTTTATGATATCACTGACTGTGTACTGTTGAACAGAAAAGTGGGTTTAATACAGTCTCTTGAATTTTGGACTTCACTGCTTGAATTTAAAATTTATTTTAAGATTGTTAATAAAACTATATTTTCAGAGACATATGCTTTTCCAGTCTGTAAAATATGTTGCAGATAGTTCTTTAAATGTCATTACTATAAAGAAGAATACAAGTAGTTTTAAATGGTTCATATTTTTGGCATATTTTCAGCAGAGAACTAGGAACATTCTCCTATTAGCTTCACCACGTTTGTCTGCCTGTCTGCTGAATGCATTTTCAATGAATTTGACACTGAGGAGTTTTACTAAAATCTGTCAGTACATTCAAATTTTGGTTAGTATCAGACAACAATAATGGACACGACATGAAAACCTACATGTGTTTCTGCATGCATTTCAAATGTAACTTGTGCTAAACTCAACAAATATTTATCAGAACAAACAGTGTTTTGAACAGTTGTAGAAAAAAATTAAATTCACATTTCATGATTTAAAGCAGTTTTCTGTTGCAGTGCTCCTTGCACTATCAAGCAGGACATAAGAAAGTCCATACAGACTTGGAAATTTGTAGTTATTTTATGTCTTGCTAGTTATCAGTAGCTGATGGCTATACAGAGTAGTTGCCATAAGAGGCATAAAAATGGGTGCAAAGATATTGCACATACCTTCTCATATATGCTTGACAGGTCACAGTTTTCCTGTTTTCAGGAAAAATTTACATTTTATATTTGGACCACTAAAGGGCATGCTCTTATTTTCTTGAAGATCGCTCCTAAGCAGTTTCCACAAATTTCTAAAATTCCAACAAATGTTAAAGCCACTTTGCTTTGGGCACCAACAGAAGGGCCCATACTGTTGGAGCTAAAATGTTCGTATTCACTGGGAAATGACCTGTGATAGATAAACTCACAAATACCAATAAAACATATAAAACTGTTCATGTACTTGCAAGGTATACATACAGGTAAAATGCATTCTGAAAGACGATTTTGACATTAAGGGGTGACAAAAATGTTTAAATCCATCTAAGAAGCAAGATTGAATTTTTCATGGTCACAATATTTTACTATACTACATGTGAGGGGAAAGTAACATTATTTCACAGGAACAAAGAAGAAAGGAATTAAAAAAAAAAGGTGCTGCACCTTGCTGAACATTATGTTGACTAAGAACGCAGGTTTCTATACACAAAGCAAAGTGTTGCACAAGATATACCAACTCAGATTACTAGACATGTTGCAAGGTGAGAATTGAAAATGAGAAAATGTGCGGATATACTGCATATTAATAGGTAAAGGTAAAGTTGTCTTTATAGTTAATTAAGCACCACACCATGAAAGTGCATATGGATTGAAATACAGCTCCATCCATAGTTAGCCTCAGCACCATATGGAGATAAGTGATCAGCTCCACACCTCAGCTGCTTCATCTCCAGGAAGAAACCCTCAGAACCCACCACATAGAAGGGTCAGCAGACCCCAGAGTTGTTCTGAATATATGATGAGAAAAATCTCTCCTCTGTGCCAGGGATCAAATCCCTACTCATCCAGCCCATAGCACAGTTACTATTCTGACTCAGATGTGCTGAGCTCATAGATATTTATATATTTGTGTAACAAATATTCACTGTGTAGTGTATTGCTACAAAGTTGCCAGTTGGTGCATGTACACTGAACTGTTGGTGTGAGTGCATTAAGCTTTCTCTGGACTATTTTATATATAGCTGAGATTTATTGCGAACACAGAAACCTTCTGAAATTAATTCTTTTTTTCTGGCTATGTATATAGCTTGTACTTACAACGATCTGTTGACAGTAACAATCTCGTAATCATTGTCAGGATTGAAGAAAACATTGTCAACAAACTGTTGTCCTGCCGTTCCTGCCACAACAGTCCCACGTGACTCTCGATGCAGTGCATAATTCCTGCATAACGAGAAAAATCAAGTAATCAGGCAAGAGTTGTCTTCAACAGAAACTGCTTATAAACCTCTTTTCTTACATGAACAGATCATTAGCCCTCTCTCACTGCTATTGAGATAGACTACAACCTCACATTTTACCCTAAATTCCACAACAAAGTAATTACTTTACAGTATTTAACATGAAATAAACACAGTCCCTACATATTACGTGCTCTATCAAAACATCAAGAAATGAAACTTCTAGCAGATGTCTATTCTAGCAGAATATTTTTGTATTTTCTCTTTTTACTTCCATTGCTGCATTGCACAGTTTGTTTGTTATAAATAATTTTATATTTAATCTTACTCTTACATTTTAGGATCTCATAAATCTTCAGGAGAAAGACAGGTTTTCGCTTATCTAGGTACTATTTTAGTCTAATTTTATGCACTATATGCTGTTAATGGTACAAAATACAATTTAAGCACAGAGAAGACATAAACCAAATATCTATAACTACAACTAATTTACTCTGTAGTGTACAAGATGTGGTTACATACTTGTAAAAGCCATTGTGTGAAGTGGTCTGGTAAATAGGTAGTCGCACTTTCTCAAATCCAGACACCTCCAGAATGTGGTAACCCCAGTTGTCATGTACATAATTGTATGAGAAGTTAGACACAACCTGCAATCATTGCAACAAGTTGTACATTTTAAACGGTTTTATTATTTCTTTTCCTGCAAGTAAAAATTGAGCCAGGAAGATAGGTTCTGCTAGGCCTGACAACCAAAGATGGCCAGTGCTTAAAGATGGATGTCTATTACCTAAAATTTATATTATGTTAAGTTATGCATAAGCATATAAAATATTTAATTTTCAATGGTATGTCCTTGGACATGTAGGTATCTCTTGCAAATTTTAACATAAAATTCTTGTTCTTGGAATTTTACAATGATACTGGTACCATGATAATGTTCAGTGAAATGGAAAGATGATCATGAATGGTGAGCAGGTAAGGACGCTGGAAAGAGATAGGTGTGGATTACTTCAAGAGAGTGCCCTACAATTTCTCTTCAAATCAAAGAAACCATGAAAAATTTGTCAGGATAAGTACTAATGCATCTGAGACTCAAACCAAGTAAGTCTACAGCATCACCACTACAAAAGCTTATAATTTCACGGTTTCACAAAGAAGGCTGACAGTCCTGCGTATCTGTATTTGTCACAATAGTATTAAATAATGGTCTACAGTTGAAAAGAACTTCAGAAAACATGACTTTGTAATGTGGATGAAACAGTGCCAATATTACATAATAAGATGAGCACAATAGATCACTGTGGTCGCAGTGCAAGGGCCAAGAGGGCCCACCCCTTGTAGTAGAAAAGTGCATTCTGTATTCAAATGGAGTATGCTCACTTTCCCTATAAGTTCTTACAAGATTTTGCACACTTCAATGGGCATTCATTTATTGCAGATACAAATCTAGTGCTGCCAAATTAATCACTTTGCAGATCTCACACTGCACAGAGCAAGAAACACTTTTACTTTGAGAAATATTTGTGACATCAAAAAATGTCAATTGAACGTTATAGATCTTAAGACATATTTGCCCAAAGCAAAAACTGCGAAGCCAGAGAAATAGTCACTGCTAGGCAAAGGCTATATAATCCACAACAATTGAGTAACTGTTGAAAGCGGTGTTTTCTGTGTGGTTCATGCTGAGGCTATATAACATGGACAGTCCTGAGATAACATTTATTTAAATGACTAGACTACCATGGCAGCAAATACTACTAGAAATAGGGCATAGTACACTATACTGAGCCTAGACTGACAGAGGCCTTGTATATATTATACAAACTAGATATTAAGACTCAATTGTAAATAAGTGTACATAGTGACAATGGACTAATACTATCGACTATGACTGACGCATGACAGACCCGACCTCTTGTCAGAGAGGGCGCCCCACATGGACAGGACAGTAACTTTCATTTAAATAGTAACATCGACACCAAGACAGACAGAATGACTGACCATCCATCACAATGTGACTTGGACTTTGACTTGATAACATTTAGAAGCATAGGAGGTTGTGAGATGGCTGCCAGCCTGTGAGGATGTGGTCCCAGAAGCAGGGGAACATCAACTGTTGGAAGATATGATTAAGCAGTGCAGTGAAGACTCTGACTGAGAACACTAGTCTTTGTGTGACAGGAATTTGTAAAGTGTAATCAAGAGTTGTTTAAGAGATCAGTAAATGCAATTACCAATCTACACCCCATCTATAGACACTCAATCACGTGACAATATTTATGACATCTGTACATGCACAGTGTCACAGGAGGAAAGGTCAATATTCTGGAAGATCATAGTATTGGTAGGTCTAAGCAAAAAAGTGTATATGTACATGGGTCCTACTCTGAACAGTTTCCGAGATAGAGCTATTTCACTGTACAGTTCCAAAACTGCTGATAAGAAAGAGATATTACATACTGTTTCTAATACCAGTATTTATTGTTCAAGTGACAAAGTTTGTACGGTTTACCTAGTGAAATATATTTTTTAATATTCCACCATCAACATCAACGCGCTTCGCCACCTGTGTGAGGACACGGTGTTTGCTCCTCTGAATGCATCTTAAGGTTCCCTTATGCAGGCGATAACATCCATAGCTCTATCTCAAAAACAGTTCAGAACAAGACACATGTCTAAATCTTGTCTAACATGTAAAATTATATTCCATTTGTGCACTCCAACTTTCAGACATAATTTCTTGTGTTAAAAATGCAAATGAATATAGAATTTTCAAAATAAATTATCACTCATACTCACAAGAAACTCCACTGTAAAATATATGCATTAATTAAATTACATTATCCAGAAATTCAATGCATTCTAAGCAATCCCTGTTTAATGATCTGGTATAAACTATTAAAATCACCTGTTTCAGAATGATGACATTCTTATATGGAGAGACATTCTTGGTGAAGTAGTTTCTATAAACTGTGACTTCCTGATAAGGGCTGCTTTGTCTACCTTCCACATAAAGAGCAGGATTGTTTCTGTTGCTGGTGAACAAGTTGTTATGAATCCAGCCTTTAAGTGCTGTAGCTGAGCCACCAGAGTCCGCATGTATGGACAATCCTCCCTCATTGCCCCAAACCAAATTGTTCTGCAACATGAACATGAGACTTGGTAAGAACTATTTCTAACTAACTATACAGTGTAGGATATATCTTAAAAAGCTGATAGTTCTTCAAATGAACAAGAAATTCCCCGCTAGTGCAGCAGGACCCAGAGGTTTATCATCATGTTCACAAAAGCTTTCAATTGGACCACATCCTAAGAAAATTCAGTCACACTGTCACACTATAATTTTCTAAGAGCCATTTCAGTATTATCCCTCCATCTACAACAAGGTTTTAAAAATAATCTTTTACCTTAACCAGATTGATACACAGATTTCTCACTTAACCATGTGTAATATACACAGGGCAGTCAAAAAGTTCCTGGAATTCCCCTGCAGACAGAGAACGAGCGATAAGATAATGCACACACTGTTGTGGAGGGGAGCTCAGCATGTCTGCTCACAGGTGCAACAGGTCTGAGCAGGTTTCAGTGTGCAGTGTCATTACTGTTCCATTTGAATTAGATGTGAGTGTTGGTCATTCGGCACAATGTCACAGTTCGAACAGCGTGCAAACATCAAGTTCATGTGCAAATTGGGAAAATCTGCTTCAGAGATTCAATCGGCCCTTAAGCAAGTTTATGGTGTTACTGCACTAAAGAAATCCGCAGTTTACGACTGGTTTTCCCGGTTTAAGAATGGGCAGGAGATGTCAGAGGATGACCAGCGCAGCGGGAGACCTTCAGCATCCAGAACCGAAAAAATGACTGGAAAAGTGCGACAACTGATTCGATGTGCTCAAAGAAGGACCATCGCGAAGTTGGAGCAAGAAGTTGGTATCTCTCACAGATCCATTCATGCCATTTTGTCTGATGATTTGAAGATGAGACACATCAGTGCAAAGTTTGTTCCGAGGCAGCTGACCACGGATCAGATGGAATGTCGCATGATGGTCACTGGCGATCTGTTTGACAAAAGTACACAGGATCCAACATTTCTCAAAAAGATCGTCCCTGGTGATGAGTCATGGGTGTTCGCCTATGAACCAGAGACAAAGATGCAGTCGTCGGAGTGTCACACAGCATCGTCTCCTCAGCCAAAAAATCATGTCTCGTTAGATCCAAAGACAAAGTGATGCTCATTGCATTCTTTGACATCGACTGTTTGGTGAACCATGAGTTCGTACTGGACAGACTGTTACTGGCCATTTCTACATGCAAGTTTTGCAGAGGTTGCGCAATGCGGTTCGGAGGAAGCGTCACGACAAGTGGCAGGGACAGTGGTTTCTGCATCATGATAACGCACCGAGCCACACATCACTTGTTGTGCAGCAATTCCTCGCCAAGAAAAACATTCCTGTCATCATTCAACCACCGTACTCTCTGGATCTCGCTCTGAGTGACTTTTGGCTGTTCCCTACTCTGAAAATGGGAATCAAGGGGACACGTTTCGCAACCATGGAGGACATTAAATTGAATGTGATGGCTGAGCTCCACAAGATTCCAAAAGAAGCCTTCCACCACTGCTTCCAACAATGGCAGGATCGATGGAGCAAGTGTGTGTGCACGCACGAGGGTCCTACTTTGAAGGTTGCTATACCGCCATTCTGGGAACTTTTTCACTACCCCTCGTACATGCTCATAACAAAAGAGAATATCTTAAGCAATTGAGATAAGGACCCTCTAACATGCAGTTAATTTATTTAATTTCAAACACCTCTGTACCTAAGGTTTATCAGTTCATATGTCATGCAAAGATGATGCTTCAATTGCAGAGGTTATACAGTATCAATTGAGATTAGATAATGAATAATGCATAGGTAAGAATTTCATGGGCTTATTTTATGCAATTTTTGAGGTACTGAGGAAAAGCCATAAAAGGCAACAGTGAGGGTAGCCAGTGAACCAGATGACATTTAAACTGAGTACCTCCCAGATACATCAGTGTATATCTAAGATAATATGTAATGGATGTAAAGACAACAAAAACCTCTGTATTTGCTTGAAGGCATTCTGAACAGATACATTTAGTTTCCCAACAAACATTTCAGAATTCATTTTACCCTGAAGTACACGCTCTGAGTGTTCTGAATGTCCATATCAATAGCTGCGTGGCAAGTGGTAAAGTTTCCATAGAGTTTCCTGCAGTTGTTTTTAAACTGGTTCCACTCCATTGTCACAGTTGGATTAACTTCTCCTGCACTTGCATAGTTGATTGCACCCTGTTGATTATTTGCTAACAGGGAGTATGAGATGTTGTGCTGCACATCACGATCTGGACAGAAAATCAAATTTATATAATAATTATATTTCAGATTTCACGTGTAATGAATGATGTTATTGTTATTGTTATTAAATAACTCCACAAATCCTGTACAGGGGCTTTAGCACCCATAGGATATAGAGCTAGTCAAACTTATACAATCTCATATAAAACATAAAAAGATACATGGTGTAACATTAAATCAAGCCATATCATAACAACATAGATTCATACATTGTTAGAAATACAACCTTTTACTTCTTACTACTCCAAGTAGTATTGTATTTGTATTTGTAATTTAACAACGCTTATTAAAATGTATTATTTACATGGAATTATATGGTATGATCATTCTGAATGATGAATTGAAATGAGGGTGGAATTGGCCATGGCATATTTTAAGGCATATCTGCCTGAAGCAGCCGAGGGAAACTTGAAATTGGAATGTTGTACATGAAGCAAGAGTATTAACAATTGAACTCCAACTTCTAGGACTACGTGCATTTATCTAGGTCCCATACAGCATGACTGTCTGAATGCTGATTGATACACAGTTTATGTAATGGTGCCTTTGAAATGCGTTGAAATGTTATTTTGAGGTTCTGCATCTATATTTTCTGTAGGAATTCATATAAATCTCAAAAATTGCAGTCAGGAGAATGCATTCCCAGGCCAAGAATCAAATATGAGATCTCACAAATAAAAAGCCTTTACAGGATAAGTATAGTAATAAAAATGTCTGAAGATGCGATCCATTCATGACTTAACATCAGAATTGTTCAAATTTTTGCATGCTCTTCATGTTTAATGTCTGTGCTTCTCATTAGATATTTGACAAACTGAAAAAGCAAAATGAAATTATAGAAATTAGTGAGCTTACTTTTAGGTAACAATTTGTGACTTTCAATATTTAAGACAATTTAAAAATACAACATGCCATGAACCTAACCTTACACCATTGCTTTCATGACAGGGAAGATTGTTTCAATCATCCATCTACCTCTCACATTTAACATCCTGAACTGCAGTCTGTGATATTTATATTAAATTTTATTCCAGTTAAAAGGAGTGACAGTAATAGAAATGAGACTAAACAGAGGACAGATGTATATGTATGGTACACACAGTTACAACAAAGACTGTATTACACTTCACAAACATTCTTTTATATTTTGTATCATATTTTTCTGTTCATAATTCAATAGTGTCCCCGTATTAAAAAAAAACATTAACACACATCCAAAACAAAGATGAGGTGATTATTTCACAAGTTACAGAAGATGTATTTTTAATACAAAACAATCAATAGATGGTATGCAGGAAGAGCGAGTACTGCTTTTTATCTACCTTTTGTTTTATAAATTTCAAATAAAAAATAGCTCAACCATAAATCTATAATCAAAACAATGCATCACAATCTTTAAAAGACAAAAAAAAAACTTAAGACTGGGGAATGCATCTGGGAATTTAAATCCTAGCGGTGAAGGGATTAAACAAAGTATAATAAGTCATTCTCCACATATTTGATTCAGCTTCAACTGACAATAAGTAAATCTGAAATTACTACAAAGGATAAAGGTATATACAGTATCTGAAACAATATTCTGCCACTTCTTACTCACTACATCTGGTCCTCAGCAGCAGCCTTATCAGACAATAAATCACAAAATAAGATGTCATGATATCAGTATCAATGTAAATTCTTTGGAAGTTTCAAATGATGAGTGAAAAAGTGTACATGCTTTATAAATGTAGCCTTTTTTAGTTTGTACACCTGACTATCCTTGATGTTAATTTATTGTATATATAATTATACTGCTGCAAAACTAATCACACTACAGATTCACTGCATAATGGCAGAAATTATCATCCCTTGCAATTCATTAAAATACAATATAAGTCAGTCTACAGAATGTTGCAAAGCTGAAGATGTTAATGAGACCTGCATTGTATGTAATGTCTATATTCTGTGTAATGAGCTGTATGTGAGAGAACAGAAAACTGAGCTGAGATCACATAAAGATGATATAAAGAGTACTATCTCCTTGGATATAATGATAATGACTTTTCATATGATATTGGTAAACTTTTAACAGACTATATGGCAACAAATCCTAGAATAGTGTACATGTCTTAGAGTAATCCTATTTTGACAGATATGAATAATAATTAAGCACATTCAGCAGCTTCTATTTCTAATTCTCAATGGCACATCTTAGTATTTTCAAAGATATGATATGTTAGAAGGATGGAAAACTGTCCATAATACATACAATCAAGTGCTTTGTACACAATAATGACAATCCAATGTAACCCTTCCTACGATTGTGCAGAACTTACTAAACCCAATGGCTGAGATTGGAAGTGTGACAATCTCAGCAATGAAGCCATGGTAGCTGCTGGCTCCAGTTGCAAACAGCTTCACACTGAGACTTGGCCCTTTTGTGCGGAACAGTCGCCTTTCATTATGACTCTCAACATCGATATTGGCAATTATCTTACTGGTTACATTGTAAATGTCTCCATCATACAGTGTGATACTGTCTGGCTTTCCTGGCTTCTTAGTGGAGTTGAACAGGTTGAACTGCAGAAGCCTGGAAACACATTAAGCGTATCAGCTGCTAATAAATGAACTGAAAGTGTGACAGAGATCAAGTATTTGGACACAATAATAATAAATTATAGCAATAAAAAGGACAAAGAGTTCTGAGCAGAACTCATGTGAGAAGAATATTGGATAAAATTTTGTATGAATAAAATGTTGTATGAAATTGATAGGCATGACATCCGATGATAATTACTACAGTCAGTTTTATCACCCTTCTTGTAAGTTGGTATAGTAATGGACTCCTTCCACTAATATGGCAATTCTTCATTACTGTAAACAGAATGAATGAGTTTATGGATTTCAGACTGCATGTTTTACCTCCTGTTTGAATCAGTTCTGCTAGAATTTGACCACTACCTAACAATTTATGCACTTCCAAATTTTCAATAGCAATTCCAACATCAAAAGGGCTAGGATCAGGTACTAACAACTCAGCTGTATGTACTTCTATCTGCCTAACATCATTGATCTTAGGTACATTCAGTAACTGAGAGAAGCAGTTCTTCCACCTATTCAAAATGTTGTGGGAATCAGCAAGCAGATCACAACTCATATCCTTCATTAAGTTACTTTATGCTGGTAACCCTTCTTAAGTACATTTATTCCTCTATACAGGCCTCTAATGTTCTTGTTCTTACTCTTCGTTGCAAGCTAATTATGTTTTTCTTTCAGATATTCCCTCTTTTTATTCCAGAAATGCCTGCTTGTTTCACATCTTGTATTCTTCAAGTTATTCCTATTTATGTGGCTTGGATCCTGTAGCCACTGCAATTTGGCTTGTTTCCTATAATTTTATAGTTTTGAACATCCTTTGTCAAACCATGGCTTATGCTTCTTCAATTCATAACACTGTAGACTCTCTTTTTTACTCACATTCTTACATTCTCTCCAAAGGTTCCCCAAGCTCTATTAATATGCACATCATTGGCTAAGTTTTCCAGAGCTGCACACCTATTTGAGATTTCAACTTGATTCTGTATTTTACCCTCTACCTTGTTTAATTTCCTGAGATTTAACTTCTCCACATGAAGTCTATGCATTGTTTTTTACTCAGCCCCCATCTCTCCTAAATTTTGACACCACTGCGTTGTGGTCAGTATCACCATCTGCTCCCCTGAATGATCAGACATCGAGTACACTTGAATGCAGTCTCCTATCCATCAAAACATGGTCAATTTGATTGTTTAGCCTTTCCATCACAAACTGTCCAAGTAAATTTATGAATGTTACAATGTGGGAATGTTGTACTTTTGACAATCAGATTTTGGATGTGGAAGTGTTTACTACACTAACTCCACCATCATAACTAATGTCATGTAAATTCTCATTCCCAATTATTGGTTTGGAAATGCCTTCCCTACCTACTTTGGCATTGAAATCTCCTAACAAAATTTTCATATAGTATTTAGGGAATTGGGAAATTTATCAAATACATGTTTTAGTTCCACGATCTATAATTTCCTCCTCCATATTCTTATGCTTCTTCATGCTTCCTCGCTTTAGAACTTCTCTGCTAGAACCTGCCTGCAATTACAGCTGAGTCAGATATTTCAGAACTAATATTTAATTAAACATCAAAGGTAATGGTAAAGTCAAACCTAAATTTAAACACATGAGTAAAAATTATGCATTAACAAAAGAGAAAAAAGCAATTATCCATCTAATTAAATTTGGTTAGGTTTGGTCTTGTCTGATGTCAAAGAAAAAAATTATATTTGATACACACACCTGAAACCAAATGGTTTCGTGTGGTAAACACTGTTGAAGATCTTAATGCAGTTGACAGGACTGTTGTCATATTTGTAATAGATTAGTACACGTTCCTCCAGAGTGATCAGTTTGGTTGTGTCACAGATGTCAATCATACTAAATATATGGTAGGGAATGTGAATCTCTTGCAGTGGGGTGAAGGAACTCTCACTGGACTCTCGTCCCTCACCAGTGAGAGATACAGCTGAGATCCCGACGCCCAGAGTGGATTCAATGCTGCAACAGAAAAGATACAACAGCTGTTCAGCTTAATATACAAGTGTTCAGTTTTAATTATACACTTTATATATATAAAATATGACAAATTTGTAAAAACTTACTGTAATGAATCAGAATGTTTGACATGTTAACACTGAAGAAGTGACAAAGGGCATAACATTCTCACCATCAATAGTTACCATTGTAACGGTTGGAACAGTGGGTATAATTTGGAAGATAATATTAAAATTAATATCAGATAGTATGGGCATGAAGGGTATGAAGGGCATGGAGGTTGACTGGATTCAACAGGCTGAGGACAGCAAAAAACAATGGCAAAACTTTGTAACCATTGTGATAAAAATTGAGATTCCACATGAAAAAAGTAATGATCACTTTATTCATTCTAAACAGCTCAAGAAATCCTATACTTGCATTTAGTTAGATACTTTATTAATCAGTCCATTAGTTACAGATGAATTAGTAACAAAAATAGAAATGGGCTGAAACAGGAAATCTAAGAACTTTAACATATGAAGATGATATCCTGCTACAGGTAAGACTGGAAAGTAAGATATCTAATGATGCAAAAGTCTAGAATAACCTTCAAATTTGTAAATCAGTTTCAATGAAAATGAAAGAAGAACTGACCAAAAGGAAGCAGACATTCAAAAAATAAAACTGATAACAGCACTTTAAAAAAGAAAACTGAAAGCTTTCTGATTTTTGTAAAGAAATTTCACCAGCTACAAAAATCAAAACAGATGTTACTGAAATTTATGAAATAATAAGGAGACCCAGCACACTCACTGTTGGCAAGCACTTAAATAAAGGAACTGAATCAAATTGAATTGAATAATATTTTATTTTCAGCAGTTTCTACATCTTATAAATGACCTACAGATATTTCTTGAAGAGTTAATTAATTTATATAGAGGAATCTAGCTCACACCTAAAAGCCAACAGATTAAATTCTTATAACCATAATATTACCCATTGTTTTTTGTAGGTGTAACATTTGGTCTCTCAACCTAAGCTAAGAAAACTGAAGAGTGTCTGAGAATATGGTGCTGAAGAGAATATTTAAACCCAAGCGGGATGAAGTAAATTGTATAACAAAGGGCCTCGAAATCATTAGGAAGCTTTTGACTAAAAGAGTGACACGGCCGCACCAGAGCTCAAGCAGTTAGTCGCTGGCTTCCCACCATGGTGGCCTGGGTTCAATCCCAGGTCTGGTCAAGTGGGATTTCTGGTGGACAAAGTGGCGCTGGGGCAGGTTTTCTCTGAGTACTTCGCTGCCAATCTTCATTTCACCAGTTGCTCCACAATCACCCTCACCTATCATCTGGGGCTGGTACAATAGGCCAGAAGTGGCCACAGTACAAGGGACTTAGTCCCACCCCACTAACATTAGTAAAAAAAAATAAGAGATTGACAATTGGCTCCACAAAAAGAACTTTTCTTGAGGGAGTTAGTCAAAAACAAATTGGAAATGGTAGTGTAGGCTGCAGCAGTAAAAATCTTATCATGAATTGTACCTATTGAACTGAAGGCATGTGTTGTCCAGTGGTGAGATGAGGTTGATACCATCAGAAGCACACAATGTGATGTTCATATTGGAGATAGCTGGTGAACGGGAAATGATTTGAACAGCTGGAGACTTTTCATTATGAAGAATTCCGGCTCCTGTCACATTAACATATTCAATCACAGACTCTACCCGATGAGCTGTCTGGTGGGTCACTACATCATGGATACGATGTTCATACAAATTCTGTTCAAATTCCCCATCAGCAAACCTGCAGAAAAATATACAAAGATGCAAATATGTTCTATTCTATAGACAATACAGGAACCTTATACCAAATCTAGTTATCTTAGCAACAATTCTGTCAATGAGGTAGCACATGGGTCGAGATTAAACTTAATGGATGTTTTCATAATTATTCCCAGATGGATGTACTATCAAACCTAGGAACTTATTTTTTTAATTTGGTCTAAAGATGTATCTGTAAGGAGTAAACCTTGAATTTATAATTGACTCGTTGGAAGCTAGACTCCAAATAAATGGTATTTTAAAGTTATCTCCACAATTTCAACAAAACTAAAAAGTCACTTAACACAGTGGCATTCAGCATTGTTCTGTTTACCTTACTGCTTCCAATACAAATTTGTAGATTCAATTACATTAATTGCAAAACATTACATAATGTGAACACATAATAGCTGTATCTGTAAGTCACACCATCTGCCCCTTCACATGTTTCAACTCTGAAAATAGTAAAATGTTTTTTGAAAACATTATATGCTGGGGCTCAAGTGTGTAAATAGACAACTGAATTTTGTTACACACTTCTCAATCATGTATGCTGTTCTTTATGTGAAGTTCAGGGTGCACTTCATAAAATTTCCTAAAAACAATTCACTGTACAAAAGATCACTATATGACATAAAATACAGATCTGATTAGTATCTATAAGTTTTGTTTCTAACATATTTTTTGATGTGGTGAACATGTAGCAAAATGCAATGAAAAATATGAGTAATATCTGATGGTGTGTGCTGTGAAATCTGTAATAAGATTACCTTTGCAGCAACAAGTCTGTATCTGCAATAAATGAACATCAAGGCCAGGAAATGGAAAAATTCTGTACTCCAGTGAGTCAAAAGTTCCCCCCTTTTTCATTATTCTGTCTGTTGGATGTGCTGCAGTTCAAGAGGTGCATACTGTAAAGGGCTGACATTAGCTCACAGAGCAAAGGAGTAGGAGACTGTGCCCACTGAAAACTCTATTCTGAAAAGCAGTACATATTTTAGCTATTTCATTATGGTCAATATATTTTGGGTGCTTAAAGAAGGGAATGTACTATTATTGGAATAAATATAATACCAAACCCTATATGGAAATAAAATTGCAGGAGTATGTTATACATTCAAATTCTCATACTTGCCATAAATTAATAAATAACTCGCTTTTGGTATATTTTCATACAGCGTATTTAGGTCAGAAATCGTGAAAGGAAGAAATTGCTTGAGATAAATACCAGTACATGGAAAAATATAGGGTATTAACATTTCCAGACCCAGGTGTATGAAGATTGAACAGCCCATACAGCATGGCCATTTTGCAAAGACTCTGGTAGTTCAGCATCCTCTGTTATGGTGTGGGGGGGGGCAAGAACAGAAATATCTTCGTAACATATAGAACAGCAGACCTCGACATTTCACGTCTTCCATCCCACGGGTTATTTTGTCAAGAAAGAAGCTGTCCCACTGGTTGATAGACACTCATCTAAAATTTTATAAGACTAGATTTGTGCTTACTCTAGAGTCATAAAATTAACTGTCGCACAAACTTCCATTACGAAATCATTTTGTTTTTTATTTCCTTTTATACACTACGTGTCTTGACTGTAAATAGTCATCACTAGATGATGTACACAAGTCAACCAAATATATGTAGACTGCAAATACAATTTGTTAAAATGTGAAGATGTATAAACAAGTAATTAAAATAATAAAAATCATATAAGACCTGACTTAATTTCACAAAGGCATGAGTATACTAATGACAGTGTTTGTTAAAATATGAGTATTCTACAACAAACAGAGTTGTATGTGTACTATTATTTTGAATTTCCAATGTAACTTGACACTTCACACTGTTATATTAAAATTTTCTAGTTTGTATACAGAATTATTGGCCAGTCCAAGATAAATTACAACTCCAAGTTGTACTGACTGCTTTTATGTTTTGCATCCTGCTGTGTATAAATATTTAGCGGGTTTATACCATCACATTATGAACAAAGCATAGTTTGGCAGCACAAAAACCCTAAATCAAAGTTTTACATTATTTGTTATGCATGGGTACTTGGAATAATCTTGTATACCATCCTGATTCATTATTACTTTAACCACATTTTTATCTTCTTCTTCTTCTACGGCGCAACAGCCCAATGTCGGGCCTTGGCCTCCCTAACCACATTTTTATACACCTCCATATTTTAACAAATCTAAACTGCCACGCCATAGCTCAAGTGGTTAGTCACTAGCTTCCCACTGCAGCAGCCCGGGTTCAATCCCGGGTCTCGTCAAGTGGGATTTGTGGTGGACAAAGTGGCGCTGGGGCAGGTTTTCTCCGAGTACTTCGGTTTCCCCTGCCAATCTTCATTCCACCAACTGCTCCACAATCACCCTCACCTATCATCTGGGGCTGATACAATAGGCCAGAAGTGGCCACACTACAAGGGACTTAGTCCCACCCCACTAGGAATAAAAAAAATTAACAAATCTGTATTTGCAGTCTACATATTGTCATATGTAGGGGATGTGCTTGACTTATATTGGATTGAATGATTGGATTTATTGACATCTTATACACTCAATTTGTAACTACAATTAACTCTAGTGTTATCACTATTTCCACACTTTACAGTTCACTGTTACACCCACTAGTGTCCTCAGTCTTTACTGGTTGCATCCTGGCAGTCTCAATGTCACTGCAGCACACTATGAAGTCTTCTTTGCACAGCCTAATTCCTTTCTTGCCAATTATTCTCAATTATTCTGTCAGCTGCCAACTCCAGAGACTCTCTCAATTCTCTGGTGAAACAGCCAACTGCGGAACTCTACTGCCTTAAACAATTTTATTTGCTTTTTTATAACCCCTCAGCATAGACCGCAGCATAGAAAACAAAGCTCTTCTATCATTGTGTGAATTCATCTCCACAGAAACATGCTTACCCAGTTGCTCCATAACAATGGCTATACTCGTACACATCACGTCTTGTATCGTGACATGTGGTCATTACCTAGCAACGGCTGTTTCTCTGCCTCCACAGTTCTTGCTTTGAGCAAATACACCACAATATATTTGGTTGACTTATGTGCATCATCTGACCACTTATGGTCAGAACATGTAGTATATACTCGTAGTAAGAAATAAAAAGCAAAACGTTTTATTCTTAATGTAAGTTTGTGTGATAGTTAATCTTATGAATGATTCAGAACATAATACAGCTTATGTTAACCCAAATTGTTACATTTATCAACACCGACAGAAAATTTCAAAGTAAAATACATAATGCATATTATGATTCCAGGCAGTGCAACATGTTTATAAATATCATATTACAGTTCCCAGCATCAATGTGCTAAAAAGGACCTTGCAGAAACAGGGAGTCAAGATATGGTTCAGAGGGGAAATGGAATATTGTTTGGTTACAGTACCTGATCCCTCCCCAGTAATCTTGTCCTGCAGGCAGATTTCTCTCACCACAGTGTACAAATACAAATTTGCTGTCCCACTCACACCTATGTCTGTGGCCATACAGCTGTCCATTGAGACGGACTGGACAGTCTTCCAACCTTGATTCATCACCTAGAAATTATATGAAAATGATATTAATACAAAAAAAACATCATGTTTAGGTGTATACCAGTACTATCTTACCTTAAATACTCATAAATTATTCAAAACTTCTAAATTACAGCCAATTTTCCATTATTTAATTCATTTATTGATTTATAAGTTAATTAACATTGCTATATCATCTGTAACTGTAATTATTAATGAATATGATGTGTGGATAATACTGAATAGTGAATTGCAAGAGATGTTGGAGGGAATGTTTATAGTCTATATTAATGTATTTTCTATGCATTAGCTTCAGAGGAATGAAAAAAAATTAAAAAATTGTACTTATGACAATTGACATCCTTATCAATACCCTACTCATGCTATTATTCAAGGCAGATGCAAGTGTAATTCACACACATTGATTCATGTACAGTAATCCGCCCAGTTGCCTATTTAAACACAATGTAAACCACTTTGAACAACCCATTTAAAAGAATTATAAACATACCTCTGAGAAGGGATATGGACTGTGTAGACATTTTACAAATCGCTTGCACTATACACAAACGGACAGATTTATCCATCTACTTTTTATTTATTTATTTATTCATTCATTCATTCACTTATTTTACACACAAATTTTTCAATGTCACATACATTTAATCATTCTCGCCCTAAGGTTGGGAATGTGTAGCACTCAGATAAACATTCTGGGTTCAGAATCTTGTTTCAATTTACCTTAAAGTTGAAGAGAAATGATAAAAAATATTATCTTAGTTTCCTAGAAATCTGGAATAGCATACAATATAAAATAACAGCATATGTTATGAAGTACAGATTAATATATATATCACACCATACTTTCGAGGAATCCTGTGCAATACTGACAAAATACAAAAAATTATAATTCATAATTCTCTGTTATATAGAAGAAGCGGATGTATTTTCGTTAATTTTGATTGTGAATTATTTACATCATGTCATAAAAATATATTATACGTAAGATGTAAATTAAAGATTTGTAAGATGTAAATTGTTGAATCATGAGCATAAATAGTCAATACACATCCATTAAATGAGAATAAAGTATTCCATTTGTTCTGAATAATTACCCTATCTCTTTCTTATTTAGCAATTACATTTCTGACTGCTTCTGCAATGCTTCCATAATATCTTGTACAAAATAAAAATAAATAATCCATCCATGAAAAACTAAAGGTTTATACACAAATGGCAGTATGTAATGTAGTTAGTCAGTAAAATAAGGTTGTAAGTATTAACTAACTACCATACCCATTCTTCACCCCGGTTTTTTATTTCTCAATACACTGTACTGATATAATGAAACTGTATATTTTTTATAACACACATATTTAGTAAACTATTACTTACTCTTAAAACTACAATTAAATTACATTAATCTTCCATGTGTTTCTCTAACAAACTTGATAAATATAAACTATTTTTAATAACAACAGGAAATTTTAACCTCTTAACTGACACACGGAGGTTGGTGTGTTATTAAAAAAACAAAGAATTATTCATAAATGTCATTAAGTTCAGATTCTAAAAATGAAAGGCTGTGACATCACACATCCCTTGTGTTATTGCTAATCACATTGTCACATTGTGATGAGGCTTGTATATTCCAAATAGAGTAAACTCCTGCTTATCCTGCATCCAAGCATCCAGAATTCTCACAAAATTGGAAAAATTTTTAGGAAAATTTTGCCTTTTTATAAAGTTGCTTCAAAAGTAGAGTTGCAATGTTGATACATTCACCCACCATATAGTAGTTCTCCAGCCAACAGCAGAAGCGCTGTCCATCATCTTTCTTCACAAAGATGCCATTAGAGCAGAGGCTAGTTTATAGTCTAATCACATTACAGTAAATTCAAAATTTTCACCCATCAACCACTGAAGTCACCTAAGATGATTTCCACACAAGAACTAAAGTGAAAACACGATTTTTAAACAAAATTTAAGTATGCAAAGGATCAAAAAAGAGTGCAAATCCATGAAAATTTGGTTTCTGTAAATTTATTTCACACAAATGGCCAATTATTGTAACAAGAATATCTCATTCATATGCATGTCAGATAACGAGGAGTTTACTTTGATCACTTTTTGCATTAAACCCCAGAGAGTCACATAGTAATGAAACAGTGGTAGTGACTGCACATTCAATGCATGAACTACATATGGCCTTCTTGGAACCATCAGACAAATAGAAACAATGAAAAAAAGGAGACAGAAGGATCTTACATTATTGATATCAGTCATCATTCAAGCTTATACAAAAATATAATTAGTCTGTGAAATGTTACCTGTGCATTGAAATGGTTCAGGCCAAGACCATATCCGAGACAAGGAGTTCGGATGATATTCCACTCTTGTACCATGATCCATGTAAACATTAAGTGAATCAAAACCGAGTTCTCGACATACAACTTGAGCATTGCGTTCAGTAAAGCGATCATCACACAGCGGTACCCACTGCAATGTTGTATGGTTGTAATATTCAAGAAAACCTTTGTTAATTACTCTAGATCCTGCAGGAAACAATAAAAAAAAATATTCCTTTATTAATTCATGTTCATCCATGTTCTACACCCTTTGAACTCACCCTATCCTGATAATGTCTGTACAGTTAATTTTAATTTCCTTTCCCATATTTCATGTTAAGCATAGCAGGTGAACTTAATTTTACTATGTTCTACTGTGTTAGATACAGCAAAGGGATACAAGATTAATTAATCTGATAAAAATTCTGTCAGAATATTAATTACACAACCAATATTGAATTAATTTAGCCCACAGCTTCGGATATGTATTTACTCTAACATTTTTAACAAATAATCAGATATATGCCGATAATGTAATGGTATTAAAATCATGCCAGTACATCCAACAAACATCAAATTAACTTAGATTATTACTTGTAGATTCATTTTATCTTAACTTTCTAACAAATAACTAGATCAAATTTTAGAATGCTCTGTTACTCAAAAAAGAATATTATTATGCTGGTCATGTGACATTTCGAGTTAGGAGCACTAGCCCTACTGAAATTAAGATGCAGAAATTTTGTATGATAATAGACCCATGAAAACTGAATGGCACTGAATGGCAAATTACCTAAGTATGAAAAAATGACATAACTACACGTACATTTTTTGTTACACTCTTCTCTTGATACCATGCTGCAGAAGGCATAGGTCAAAAAGGCTAAACCATGGAAACTACCTGTGTGGTATAATCTTTCAGGATTATAGAATGGACCATGCCAGTGGAGATTGTGATTTTAAAGATTCATGAAATGGTTTATTATTATGATGAATGTATCCTTCTTTTTTTGTGCATTGTTCATTTTCCATTTTTGAGGTAGACAAAAAAGAAGTCATCAGAAGAAGACAGAGATAGTAATACTCCCTAGTCATTGATGAGTGACTTCATACAATCATGACCCAATGCCCGGCAAATATGTTCTCTTTATTTCTTATGTAATTCACTATAGTTCCAAGCACACAATTCTGCATTTAACTTACTTTTAAATTTCGTTATACAGTAAACTATGAAAACAGTCCACTCACCAAATTCATGATCATAAGAGTCAGACTGTGTTGTGCAATTTCTGCCAGTGCAGAGACGAACTGATTCACTAACAGGTTCAAATGGCAATGCATGTCTGCGATGTATAACCTTGTTGTCTTCTAGAGATGCACTTGATGTTATAGGATGCATTATTATCTCTTGGCCCCGTACCCCCTGTGCCTTCAACACTCCCAGCACTAGGATGCCAACATTTGGAGCAAACTCCATCACAACCCCAGGTCTTATTGTTAAGGTCGCCTGTTGGACAGAACAGTATGTCTGCAGTGCAAGCACAATTTGTCAGTTGTTATCATAAAGTACAATAGTTTCCCTTTGGCATACCTGAGTTACAGTCCTTCAAAGTATCTGAAATGTATGCCTTTTCCTAGGATCATTTAACAATGTAGTAAGTGATAAGTTTAGTATTTATTATAAAAGATAAAACAATTCCATCCAGTGTGACTTGTGAAGTTTTTCTTATTTCAATTCTTAATGCCTTATTTTGTTTGTATATATGACATTTGTATATATGTAACCCATATCATGTTTTGCCAACATTTTGGTATATTTAGCAATGATATACATAGATTATACATAACATCAAATGACAAGATGAATATGAACTGAAGTGTGTTAAGGATGTGATAATATACTTACCTGGGGTATCATCCAGGAATTGCCTGGACAAAATGAGGACATAAAAACATATCAGAATAAATTATCTCTAAGCTAAGAGTAAACCAAGGATATCCCTAACATAATGAAAAAGTTTTAACCACTGCACTACAGAGGAATGTCCTCATAAACAGTGAATTCTACATAAAAATGATTTTAAGAAATTTTAACATTCCTGGAACAAGTCTAATAATACATTTCTCTTATAATCAAGTTTTTCTGCTTCCTCCTCTCTACAGAACTTGCTGGTATTTCACTCAGCCCAATAAATGAACAACTCATAAACCAAAAGGCTTCTCACCCCAGGCATAACAGTGATGTCAGAACGAATGATGTACGGACTGCTACGTTCATAGAGAGTCAGTGACTCCTTGAGACGCCCACCAAGATTATCTTGGTCAATGATCATGGGCTCCTCCCATGACACTGACATGGAAGAATCGAATGCATCTTCTATCAGATATGGCCTAGAGTAAGAAGTGATACACACATTTACAGTTATTTATTTCACAAACTCAAATTAAAATTACCAGAACCACCGAGTATTTTTACATCTGTCTATACAACAAATTCTTATATAAATATACACATATATATATATATATATACATAGATTATTTACATTAAAATCTTAAAATCTTGGAAACACCTGTTCGGCTCTATTGGGTCATCATCAGTTCATCATTATCTGATGATGACCTAATAAGGGTTGAAGCATGTTGTGTTTTAAAATTTTAAAATTCTAATGTAAATAATCTATATTTACATATTTATATAAGAAACTGCTGTAAAGACAGATGTAAAAATACTCAATGTTCATGACACACATTATATTACATTATATATTAACAATGGCACCTTCTTCAAGTACAATCCCATTTACAACAAATAATCACATATTTTTTACAATAACAGTCAGTTCAGGGAAATCCTATTCTCCAATTTACAGTTTGTCTACATAACACCCTCTGGCTTAACTCACCTGAATGTAGCTATAGCATGGTTGTTCCAGTCATCAAAATCAAATATTTTCTTCTTGATGTCACTGACATTACCAGAACCCCACCAGTTCTCCGCAACATTGATGGCAGTGTTAAGTTTAGCAGTCCGTATCCCTGCTATCAATTCATAATCCAAGCCATTATTTCCAAACAGGTTACGGTTCACATTCACCTTCTGAATTCCATGAAAGCCAATAACACATGATGGCGTACTGTAAACCTGTAGAATATGAAAACGATCAGACTGGAGATCAGGCATCAAACACATTACTTCATGGGTTCTGCGACAAGCACTGGAATATTGTCTTAGGTTGTGAGATTACCTACCTAGTTCTCACTACAATGAAATCCTCATTTGAAGTTACTTGGGGGGGGCAGTGGATTTTAAAACTAAACTGTGGGAATTCTTAAATGGAGGAAATTCAAAACTGAAATTATTGACCTGTAATCTTTAAAACTGATGAGAGAAAACCTTAAACTGAGGAATATTAAATGGAGCTTCCAATTATATGAGGTATGACGTTTTCATAACAGAGAAAATTCGTAGTGTCTTTTGGATTATGATGCCACATACTATTGTAGGTGGGAACATATGTTTTAGAGGAACACACCAACTACATCTTCGGGGCAGAAGTCCATTTCTATCTAGAAGGTCTTAATACAGTTCTCATTAATTCATAAACTGTGCTCAATCTAAAACCATCTTCATAAAATTTCTATGAGAAAGAAAATAATATTCAGCTGTATTCAAATTATGAGTGTAATTAAATTTGGCATGCTGATTACATAATAAAGTATGACATGTCTACAGTGAAAAGCTTAGCTGGAAGATCTTTCTGGTCATAAGAATATGCAGCGATCACAAATGCAAAATTAAGTCTAACAAGATCTGTTTAATACAGAAACATAAATGAGATACAAGATTTTAATGGAAATTAATCTGCAAGAATACTTATATTTTGTTCATCAAATTTTGTTTTGTACTGTTTCCTGAGATTCTTCTGAAAAAAAAAATATGTTTGGGAAAGAATGAAATCAACAAATTACCATATATGAAGAAGACTATAATGTGCTATTGGAAGGAGTATAAGAAAGGGAAATGGAAAATAGCACAACACTGAAAGGCGTATTACTCAATAACATTAGAGTGTACACATGTAGCATTACTTTCTGACAAGATTTGGATCATATATACTTAGGATTTTACTGTGGAATATTTCTTCTTATCCTATGTGCCTATATGAAACAATAATTTGTCCAGAAAAGTAGAATTTCAACTTAATTGATATTTTGTTATAAGCAGGTTTAATGTGACACCCATTCAAACCTGACAAGGAAGAGACATAGTTCACAGTTACCGCTACACTAGCCTGATCAGTCTTACCTGATGGAAGCCTCTGTTGAGACCAGCACTAAAGTGGTTGTCTTTAACTTCATTCTCATAGAACCTTGCATCCACTTCACCAAGGATTTCAGACTGACTGTCTGCTCTAAATTCAACCATATATATGCCAGTATTCCTTAGGATACGATTGTAAGCTATCCTCATGCGTTTTTCCATCCCTCTGATGGATACAAGACCACTCTTGCACTGATTGTCTTCAAACATGTTATGTGTTAAGTTGAGCTGTGCAAAATGTCCATCCACCACAAATCCAAACTGTTTATTGTTCCTCCATGTGTTATTCTTTATGTAGAGGGAATGTGTAAAGTTTTCATTGTATTGCCACACATAAGGGAGCGACACATCAAATCCGCCACCTTTATTCCGCTCAATTGAATTAGCTTGGAGGATCCAATGAAATAAGTTGTTTGAGCTACGAAGATCCCTAAAACACATTATTTTATTGTCAGTATTCTATCATATTTTGTTTACTCTAAAACTAGAAAACAGGACTGGAAAATTCTATTAAACCTAAACCCAGGAACAAACTACTGACCTAATCCTGAGCCAATTTAATCCAAAACACCTCCTCCCAACTTATTTCTCTAAGATCTATTTTAATGTTAGCTAACCCCATGTTTAAGTGCAGCAGATAAATTTCCAAGGAATGAAACTGTTTATTTCTTATTCAGAACTGGCACAGGAAAACACATGAGAGGAAATTAAATTAATAAATATAGTATATGTTTGCATCTGTATATGAGCATATATGCACGTGTGCACTTACATAAATCACAATACCCTTAATTAACTTTGCTTGGAAACACTAACAAAGTTCCATTAAGTCAGCTTTATTTATAATTTTTATCTTCTAACGTAGTTCTGCACAGTGCCATATTTTCATTAAATTCAATTTCTACATTTGGTAAGAAGTTTCAGTATAAACTAAGTTAACTTCACAGAGCAGAATTCTTCTTGTGAAGCTATTAATCTCTCATCTAGACAAGAAATTCCCTACCATTTATGAAACCCAAAAGTTTATTACCATGTTCAAAAGAACCTAACATTGAGCCCTGTCCTGATCTAGCTGAATCAAGTCTACTGACTCACATCCTACTTTTCTGTGATACATTTTAATAATATGCTCTCATCTATGCCTAATCTCCCATGTGACATATTTCTTTCAGTTTTTCCAACTAAAATTGTGTATACATTTCTCATATCTCCAATATAATCTGAATATCCTACCTATCACCTTTGATCTGACTGCCCAAATAATATTTAATGAAGAGGAGAAATTATGAAGCTCCTTACTGTGCACTTTGGTGATAATATTATTTACTTTCATGTGAGCTTTCTCCTTTAAAGTTTTAAAAACATAACTTTTTTAGGAAAAAAACATACCTGCTGAAATGAAATATCCCCCTTCCATTGTCAGTAATGAGGGAATTGTTAATCATTACTGTTATCTCTGATATATTTGAATGATAGACATCCCAGAAAGGGGAATGAACAAAAATGGCCTCCTCTGTGTTATATGAAATATCACAGCCAAACAATTGTATAGATTCATTTGACTTGCGCAAGAAATGTTCACCGATCTCATTTAAATACCTGAAACAAACATCAAATAGAAGAAATATCACAAAATAGACCGCTAGGTATTAAAAACTAACTAAAAATAACTAATAAATTATCTCATAGCATAACCTGAGAAATCAAACATTGCTAATACTGAAGCACATCACTGTACATGATCCTGAGCCAGTTGCATGCACTACCCATCCTCAAAACTCATGTTCTCAGGATCCATCCTGTTTCATTTTCAAGAAAATCAATGAAGCTGGGGATTATGTTGAATGAACACAATTTCAAAATAAATGAATCTGACAATATATGTGCAAACTCACAATAACAAAGTGTCATCAAAAGCAATTCATTAATTTCAAGATGTGACACTGGTGTGATTTCCCCATAATAAGTTAATTCCATGCATTTTTTTTCAAATATCACACAAAAACTGGAAAGCATGACTCATGTTACTGACACAAAATCGTATCCTACATTTCTTCTGTGGTGGTGATAAGGTGACTGGCATAGGCCTATCACAGACTTTTGAAATGAAAGGACTCAAACGATATAAAAATGCTCTTTGAATAAATTATAATTATTCAGCTGTTCTCCATTCTTGTGGAGCCCGAAGATTTACCACAGTCATCACAAATTGTGTTCATCATCTGTTTCTTTTGTCATTTGTTACCTGTGTTCTACATTCACTGATATATGAACAAAATGAGGAACATATATGACTCCATTCTTCTTCATGCAGTACATGAGTTTAATCACTGCTTTCGGTTCATAAACACAGATAGATAGTTTACTGCAGCTGGTGATACTAAGAGAGATAGTAGGGGAATGGAGGGGAAGAGATGGGGAGCAAATTCTGATCTTAATGTCCTGTAGCACATGAAATGAGTAATATTATTCAGTTTATAGGTTTAAAAGAACAATGATATTTTCCTGTGTTTTTAAGTGTATTTGCCTGATGATGGTTTCTTGAAAGCTGAAACATTTAGTAAAGTACTAACTTGAAACTACAAACATATATTATTAATTGTTGTTTTGTGACAGCTTTCAATAAAGAAACAATGATTTTGTTAAGAAGTCAGCTGATTGAGAAAAATGGTGCAGTTACAATTGATTTTAGTGGAGTAGTAGTCCTGCAGTTTTGTCAAATTAATTTCTTGAGAATAAACATCTACTGACCTATTATAGAAGGAAGCTCTGATGCCTTGTTTATTGCCTTTGATTCTGGAGTTTGTGACTGTAAGTGTTGGTATTGGACCTCCCACTATACGATTCTTGATGTCTTGAACTGGAGCTGACAACAGGACCAAATCATTAGAAAACATTAAATTCCACACAATTGAATGAAACCCGTTATACTTGTACTTATCTACAAAGGTTCATATATATTGTTATTCCATGTTACTTTGCTACTTTATGTTACAGCACTGTGTTATGGACTACAGAGAAAGTGAGAAGAAAGGACTTTAAATACGCAACCTAAGAGTCCAACATTGGAAGAAACACTAGTTGAAACCCAGAATACAGTATTATGGTCCTGTATTGAGAGAGCACAAAACCAGAGTTTTCCAGAGACAGCACTGAATAAATAAAGTGGTTAGACACAAACATCTCAACACAGAGACCCATGTTCAATTTCAGGGCAGTAAGCAGTAACTGTCTCTGGAATTAGGTAGTCTGTAACAAGTATGATTACTCTATTAATATTTTCAATTTCCCATCAATTTTGATGGGGCACACGGTAGTGTAGTTGGTTGAGGCACTATTCTACAACTTGGAAGGTCGCAGGTTCAAGTGCCAATGAGGTCATTGGATTTTTGCAATTGCCCTAATCCTTCCAGCCACACTATGGCCCTGGGGTCAACTCCGCTTCTAACAGAAATCAGTATCAGGAATATTCTTGGAATATTCTTGGGGGTAAAGGGCAGCAGGCACATAGGGCTGACAACCTTGCCACCATCTATGAGCCTATTGTCTAGAAAATGTAGGAACCTCAACATCTCACAATCTTATGGGCCTACATGGCCTGTTACAGGGATACCTTTACTTACTTACATCAATTTTGACGGGCTGTTCTTTGATTCTGTTCTAATAATAATCCGTCAAACATCTCTGTTTTAATGTTTAAGGTTAAATTAAAGAAAAATAAAACATGTATGACCCAGTGACATCGGAAATTTCTTCCTGTGCACAGATTCCATATTCCAGTTCCTTTACCTCAAGGAAAGAGCTCTTGATTGGACATGAAGCTCCAGAGACTTCACAATCAGTCAGATAATACAGTAAAGAACGAGATTCCTGTAAAAAAAAAAGTAAAGCTATCCCTATACCAGGCCATGAAGGCCCGTAGGGTTGTGAGACATTGAGGGTCCCACATTATCTAGACAATCAGCTCAAAGATGGCGGTAAGTTTGTCAGCCTTATGCACCGGCCGCACTTTGCTCCCAGGAAAATTATTTAATTAATTCCTGGTAATCATTTCTGTTAGAGGCTGAGTCGACCCCAGGGCCATAGTGCGGCTGGAAGGATTAGGTCAATTGAAAAAAAATCCAATGACCTCATCGGGACTTACCTATCATAAATCAAACCCCAACCATCTAGCTCCCACTCAGCTACTTTACTGCGAGAAGAGGAACAGCTCCATCATTCTTGAACTTGGCAATAGACAGAGGTTAGTGGTCAGCTTCATACATTGGCCACTTTACTGGCAGGGAAAAAGTCCCTGGTACCCATTGGATAGGAGGCTAGGTGGGCCCCAGAACTTGTCTGAATGTTGTGAAATAAAAAAAAATATCTTTTCCCAGCCATAAATCGAATCCCGGCTATCCAGGTTGTAGCCCACCATGATACCATTACTACCAATTATGGGGTATTATAAATTATGACATGGGGCTGCCTCCAATGGCATAATGTTCATACAAAATATTACGAAAACCAGTGACGTGATTCAAAAATTAAAAAGGGTGACATACAGACAGCACAGTGTTCTCGTGAGTCCACTTTGTTTCCTTGAATAAGGAAATTAGGCTAAAAGAAATCTTTTATGCAATAAATATTTCATAGACACAACATACACAAGACAGCTGTTAAATACATACAAAGTTTTGATCATGAAAACTGAAAGTGAGAGATCAGTTGGGAGACCTAGGCTAATGCGAGTGGAAAACACTGAGATGAATCTCAAGGTAATTCAAGATACAGTTCACTGATGGGCTCTTGTGCATGAAAATAAATCACTGCCAAATTGTAGAGACCAAGGAAAGTGGTATAAAAATAGAACAAAGAAAAAGGAGACAGATGCATGAGAAACAATTTTGAAACAACAGAGAAAATGGAGGTTTTGTTAAAATGTGGTCCATCATCGTGAAGGATGATGTCATGACATATTTTTAAAATTACCTAGCACAGTCGATACAGCCATCACAGCTCCACCAAGTGCATTGCTACCGCTACGATACTGCATCAAAACTCCATACGAGCTGCTGATTGTTGGGAACACTGCAAGATCTCGTCGCAGACTCCAGGCATATGCTGAACTGTTCACAGTTCGAGCATTGTATATCACTATATCTTCAGTGCTGCGGTTGTGAATTGGATTCAACAGCTGGATTCCAATCACATACCCTGGCTGGCACTGTAACCAAGATAGTAGATAAACTGATGGAAGCAGAAACTTTGCCTATATAAAGAACAAAGTTTTATGATATTACAAAGAAAAAGATAGTAAAAAAAGTAAAGGTAACCCTGTAACAGGCCATGGAGGCCCATAGGATTGTGGGATGTTGAGGTTCCCACATTTTCTAGACAATTGGCTCATAAATGGCGGCAAGGTTGGCAGCCTTATGCGCCGGCTGCCCTTTACCCCCCAGGAAGAATCCTGGTACTCATTTCTGTTANGTTAATGGCTAAGTCGACCCCAGAGCCACAGTGCAGCTGGAAGAATTAGGTAAATTGAAAAAATCCAATGACCTCATTGGGATTCAATTCCACCACCTTCCGGCTTGTAGTATAGTGCCTCAAACAAATACACTATCACACGGCCCCCCCCCAAGAAAAATATAGATGTTTGTTTATTAACTAACCCCATACTGAAAAGTCCTTAACATTTTGAGAACCAGCTAGCTGATTATCAATCCCATTAGGAGCTTCCAGACACTTTGTAAGAATAACTGGTCACAACAAATAAAAGTATACAATATTTAATCAATATAACCTAAACAGTTCAAAAACTGGACAGCACAGGAGTATTCAAAAACATTCAGTACTACAGGTATTTACATGTACTTTAGTTATAAAGCTTATGTTCATTATTATAGAATAGAATCTGTCTTTTCTTGACCTTAGTTTGGTTTTGATAATAATGATCCTAATGTTGGTGAAGGTAGGAACAGCATCTGTTTGACATTTGAGGTTCTCATAGCAATAGATATGAATGTGAGATCATGAGGGCTGGTAGACAATTACTAATATTTCAGAAAAACCTGGTGCCTCCCTCTTCATGGGAAATGTTAATGTTCTGCCTGACTACATGCATCATATTTCAGCAAACAGTAATCATCAGTGAACTGCCATGAAAGCCTTAAATCATCAGTCATATAGTTTACAAATTTTTTACTTTTGCCAGTAACTAAAGCATTCTCTTTAATTCTATAACTGTTACTAACCAGTGTTAACAGAGTTCTTTGCATCAACATAGCCACTGTCTGCAGCTACAATAATCCCTTACTTAATTTGACAACGGAATTAACGAACTATATCAGACATTATCTTTTCATGCTCAGAAATTAATTTTGATATTTATGTTCTTAGATAGGATCTACATCAGAAATATTAGAAGTATTAATAGTTCATGGTATCCACAATAGCTTAGTTGACAAAACAAAGTTCATCCATTTTACAGATGCCTGAAATGCAGATGGAAAAAATTGAATCTAATACCCTTTTCATGACAAGTTCTTGTAATTATCCCAGAACAGAATTTGTGATTAGCTACAAATTATTAGAGAAGCCTGAAGATTTCAGACACATTCTCAAAAAGTGTGGATAATGAAATTAGTATAGTACCTACTTAATTATTTACAATAAAACATCAAATCTTCTTACATAAATATTGAAGTGCCTGTCAATTGGATCAGAACCAACTCTCTGCGTGAGGAAATACTTAGTCTCGCCTACTTCAAGGTGTATATCAGTGTAATACTGTGGAATGAGGATTGGTTTATATGAAGAGTACTGGATATTTTGGTCTTCTGGAAACTTGAACCAGCCTGACAGTTCTCGCTGTTGATAAGCTGTCAGTGTAGGGTTGTGGTGGATGCCTGCTTTCTTGTTGTTCTCAAGTGATGATCCTAATAACAAGAAGCAAAATGACAGTGCTTTATCTTCTGGCTGTTTGCAAAGAACACTATATTTCTCTCACAATCATCAAAACGTTGAATACCTGGCTTTTACATTTTGCATATTTTTTTAGTTACTGCAGAATAAATAAAAGCAACAGCACAAACATTTTTTACATATATACAAAATATAGAATATTCCAATTTGTCTGTGGGAATGCAACAAAATTACAAAAACCAACAACTGACTCAATGATGTAAAACATCAATCGAAGAATTTTATTCTTGTTTTATATTATAACTTTTGTTTCATATAATCTAATTTATTGTATTTTTACATCAAGTATTTTATATAATTAATAATATTGTATCCAATTTTACTAGTACTGCGGTTCAGTGGTGTATATATGTTTAACCATGTATTTGCCTGATGATGGCTATTAATAGCCAAAACATGTAGCAGTGCCAAAACTAGGCACTGATCTTGATATTAATTGTGTTGTAACGGTTGTAATAAAGAAGTTGTATAAACCTCCATGTCATTTCATGAATATTCTGATATGCAATATTTAAGGTCTTGATCATGTAGTTAAAAAAATACAAAAGATGGAATACATACTTCACCACATATAACATCTCTTCCAAATTACACACAGATGGAAATGGTGTGCAATATTTGTCAGAAATACCAAGAATTCAGAAAAAAAAATATCAAGAACTGCACCTGAACATGTCTTTTATAAGCCATTTGTAGAAAGTGCACAAAATGAATGCACAATGAAGAGGTAATGTCTACTGATACATATGTTGCATCTTAAAAATCAATGGATTTCAATAAAATCTGATATTGAGAATCAAAACAGAAAGATGATGGGTAAATTTAACCTTAATATACACTGACAAACTACAACCCTTGCTTTATATAAAACCAAAATCAAATTTCATTAAATTACTCTAAAATGGTTCATCATACAAAAATAAGTGAAGTACATAAAATGCATACCTAATTAAGCTCTACAACTTTTATATGAAACATTCTTCAATGTGGTATATATTTAACAAAATACAAAGAAACATAATTTCTTACTCTGATGTATATTTATAGTTTGATTAGCTTTTCAACAATGTATCAATCTGTATTTGCAACAAATGAGTACCAAGGTAAATCATATATATAAAATATAAATGACTGCATTTGGAAAATATACGTACTTCTTTAGAGTACAAATCACCAGTGCAGTGAACTGATTTAAAAAAAAAAGTTCACATTTCAACCAGGATTCTAATTTCACCAGTTTATTTCTTATAAAACTGTGAGCATTAAATGCAACACACAAATAAATATGACCATTATTATTTACTACTGTGCATCATCTGAGATGCTTACAATGCTGTTCACATTAAACAACAACAACCATGAACATAGTTTACCTGATATTTTTAACCCAAGCTGCTTAAAACTGATTCCATTTCCCCTGTTATTACTAAACTCGCTGTTCTTTACAGTGTTGGCAACTCCTGAGGAGTACAGATCTGAATACAAGACACCAAGCCCATCCTGTAGGTTATTCACGATTCGAACATTTTCCAAAGCATGTCGAGAGAAATCAACTTGTAGTGCTGTGAAACAAAGAAACACATATGTTCAGTTCAAGCAAATGCTCGGGTCATGTAAGACTTGAGAATATTATAATTCTGCTGTTTCAATGCCACACTGACGTTTGATCATACTGTTATCTTACCTAAAAAAAAAGGGATTAAAGTTACATAATTTTGAGATTCATAATTTTTACTGTTCATAAAACATTGAAAGGGAAGTTAAATGAAGATAAATCAGATGAGTGAAACAAGTACATGCAAGGCATAAATGAGAAACCTGTATAAATTATGGTCACAATTGATCAAAGGAAGAGATGAGGATAATATTGAAATGGATCTTAGATTTGGTGTGAGCCTGTGAACCAGATTCAACTGGCTTAGAATAGGGTCCAATAGCAACTTCTGTGAACATGTAAGGGAACCTCAGATTATGTAGGAGAAGGGAATTTCTTAATCGGATTTTCAGTTAAGACCCTGTGCCATTAATTAAAAGGAAGAAAATGAGATTTCTTAATTGCTACAAGCAATTGATTTTTCTCTTGTAAATAGTTAATTATTTTAAACGGTCTAACAATTATCCATTATTTCAAATAAAACTTACAGTGGAATATTGATATTATGTGAATTTATATAGATTCTAAAAATGCTTGCTGTAATGGATACACATAATATCCAAAAATAGCTGAAATACATAACTAGAAGTCTGTCCCCTAACTTCGGAAAACATATAATACAGTACAAATTGAAGTTCAAATAATTATGTCGGTGTGGCAATATTTCTTCTTCTTTGAAATCATTATCCTGGGAATATGGAAATACTGAAAATAAATTCAGCATTCTCATTGTCGTTAGCATCAAAGGAACTGAACAGTTAAATATTTCCTTAAATTTATATAAAATTTTCTATTGACAATCACTTGCTATTTAGGAGCAATCCTTTATGACCAAAAGACAAACCCAATATTTTCTGACCGCCTGCAGGCATGAATCACTTATACTCTGCTCACAATTCTCTGTAAGTTCACAAGTTCCACCCCCTTTAAGCCCACAATTCACTGCACATGCATATATGTGAGAATAATTCATTGGTCTGTATAAAATTTCACAACAGACACAACACATGAAGAAGTTTAAAACAAATTGCTTCTTATGTAGATACATTAATCCCTACATTCTCCTAAATTCCATGACTGGAATATATACAACTTTCTGATGTTACATACATAAGCACTCGCTGTGAATCATTAATTGCACTTAATAGTATCACACTCCACAAGCATACTGCCATTAGAGTTCTTTAACCAGTTTGTCCCAGAGTGATTAACCTGCTTATATTAATTTATGTCTCATAGAAATTTCTGACAATTTTGTTTTCATGCATCTCTGACATATTTATTCCTTTCTTTCAGAAATACACTCTTTCCATTCCAGTTTACTTCCCTTCCAGTGTGAAGATGTATCAGAATTCTGGTAAAAAAATCTTTGATAAAATATCAGTATTGAGTGCATCAGTCCTTTATATCCAACATATTTAAAATTGAAATTTCTGGTTGCAAATATTCTGTAATGGTACAGGTAAAAACAAATCCTGCTGGAGGAAGTAAACACAAAATAACATCTTCTTGGGAAATCAGCCATGTTAAGATGGAATGGATTCTCAACATTTTGGAAAATGTCAATCTTCCCATCAACAGGGACTGCTGTGGTGGGTGACACCCTTGTAAGAAAAGTATCTGTCCATACTGTTGATTCCTCAGGCCTGGTGTCTTTGCCCAGAGGTAGACAAGCAGTGGACCAGCAGGGGACCAGGGACTGGAATCAGGTGTCCACTCACTTTATACTTATGCTGGGTATGAGGATCAACTGAAGCCCACACCTTTATTGAATCTGTTAGGATGCAGCCAGTCATCATTTGCGTCTTTCACAAGTACAGCCATGTAGATGATAGTTCTAGCCAGCACTCTTGTGTCATCAATGTGTGTACAATATCCTGTTCCTATACTGTATTTTGCCACTACTGCCTTATTGAGTTGGAATAAATGAATGTGTATGTGAGGTTAATAAAAATGTTTTAGCCCAACATATAATGACAAATTCACATCAACTGTCTTAGCTAAAGTAAGAAACTAACTAGTGGTACTAGGAAGAAGCTGACTGCTACTCAGCCAGTCAATAATACCTCCAGTTTCCACCTGAAAGTAAAATGACCAAAGTGAAATAGAATAAACACTTCTATGTAACTGTTTAGGTAGACATTAAATATTTTTGTTCTCCAAAAATTGTACTATGGCCTATATACATTTTGTGACATATCTGTTGAAGACGACACAAAGTATTTTGAAGAATAAGTGTAATACAATTAAATGAAACAAATTCCGTCCCAAGTGCAAACAATATATATTATATGTCTTTGATCTTGTTCTTTCTACACTACATGTTTCGGCCTCTATCGGCCATCATCAGGTGTATACTCTTAACGTTGCTGCCACACTGAACCCGGTCTAAAATTTAACATTTAAAAACACGATGTCACATTCTTCGTATTATCAACATCTACATCGTTGATATATGTCTGGTATGTAGATTATGTTGCACACGTCAAATTTGATATTCTTATAGTAGCACTTAAAAAATCTTTAGTTATGATGTTTTTAAACCTTTTAAAATTTTATCTAAATTTTAAATTTAAAATTTAAAATTCGTAGGGTTACACGCCCTATGTCTAAGTGCTGGAGCGGCTAGTTCTTGTTTTCACGCTGTACAGGTGTTATTTAATGTAGTCTTCTTGTGTGGGTGCCGCTGCTTGTCTGTACTACGTGTGCTGTCTGCTGTATTGTTGATAATACGAAGAATGTGACATTGTGTTTTTAAATGTCAAATTTTAGACCGGGTTCAGTGTGGCAGCAACGTTAAGAGTATACACCTGATGATGGCTGATAGAGGCCGAAACATGTAGTGTAGAAAGAACAAGATCAAAGACATATAATATATATTGTTTGCACTTGGGACGGAATTTGTGTCATTTATCGTGTAGAGTGCAACAGGATGCTTAAATATAATATTGTAATACAATTAGTCAAAAAAATAAACTGCAAGGTCCTTTGGAGTGTAGCACTGCATGTTACATGAATAAAAACATCAAACATTTAAAAACTAGAAAAATAACAAGAGATGTATCTTACCAGGCTTAAAGGTGTTGGTGCTATAATCCAGCAACCCAGCTCTCTCCACTGTGATGAACTGAAGGTCAGCCCGTTCTGCAAGCACTCCCAATCGCACTCCAGCCCAAGATGACTCATGACAACGCAGACCAACATCATGTTCGTGAGTACAAGAATTCTCAAAGTCATATTCTCTTTCAGCAGGACAATTTGTTATGTCAATATCATCTTCTGTGCAATGCACATTACTGAAATGGATGTTATCCTGTTAAGTGCTTCTCCTTTCATGATCTAGCTTATTTATCTTAATAATACTCAAGTAATTGATTCCCAAACATTTAACAAGATTATCAAATGCAAAATGCATCAGTGAATGAGATGGAAATATCATCATGAATGGTGAGTAGGCATGGATATAGAATAAGGTTGTCCTGGTCTGTTTTAAAATACTGTTACACTATTCACCGGGGAAGATGGCAAAAACCATGAAACCCTCAGACAGTACAGTTAATCACTCAACCAAAATTCGAACATAGTGTCTTACAAATACAAGGCTAGAGAGCTGCTACTACATCAACCAGCTCAGTGCACATATATTTAAGTTACTTTCAACTGAATAATAAATAAATTTGTTAACAAATTGCTTTACAATGACAATATAAAATTATTAATTTTGCACATATGCAATCTTTGTTACAGGAAGGAGAACAAAACACAGCATAAAAGTCATCAAGATAAAGCAGCAAAAAAGCTACACATGACATCATACATACTTTTATGAAAATTTGTGCTATCTATGGACAAGTATTAAAGCTTTGCAATATATACTCTATTCAAAAGATGGAAGATGATTTTTTTTCATCTTTCTCTCCTACTCACAAAAAGAATATAATATATTTAACACAAATAATATTATATAAATATTAAACTATTATTAATACAACGTTTCTGGTCAGACTTCTAAAAAACCCAAAGAAGGCAGTAAAACTTCAAATTTCATGATTGCCTAAATCATCAAGTACATGATTTTTAGCCTATCAGCCCAATCTTGCTCCTAAATCTGATCCAATCATCTCTTCACTGGTCTTTTAAAACTTATATTTCCTTATGGCCAGTACTGCCAAGCCAACTGAGGAATTCAATTATCCTTCACCTTTTGTAGAGGTATGTCTACAATTCTGAATTTTCTGTATTTAGGCTGAACACATTTAACTTTTCCCCATTCCTTTCATTGCACTGATGATCTTTACATGTATATGTGGTGTATCCATGAAGAAACTTTACCTCTGCTGTCTGTGTCCTTGCCTCATGATTTTTGTCACAACCCATGGTTCACTTCCATGTGCAAAAGTTTTACTATCAGTACTTTACATATTTTCAGTTTTGATTTCAACATTGTAAAAAATCCCATTTTGTGAGAATTTAAAGGGAAAGTATCGAAGTTCAGTCTCACAGAACAATAGGATCAGTTTCTAAATGATTTTTCCATAGAATAACAATTCACTTAGATGTTTTAAATGAAATTACCTTCTCTCTACAAGAGACAAGATCATCTCTACCACTACAGTAAGTGTACCTGAGAATGATTTGCTCAGAAGTGCCTGCCTGTGGGATCTCCGACCTCTCCAAAAACCAGTCATCAGGATTCAGCACCAGACCAAGTTGGTGACATACTAAAGCTGCATCAATCATGGTCCATCCATAGTTACAAACTGTACCCCATTTTCTGCCTATCCTCACCTAATGAAAAAGGAAAATAATGTTTAACCCTGTATTTTTCACCATCCTGGGCTTAGGCTCACAGAAGTATAATGTCTACAGGGAAATAAAATAATTCTTAAAGTCATTTTTAATATAATTAACTTATATTACTGCTATGCAACTGAACTTCTGACTATGAAAAATAACTTAAACTGTTCCTGTACTTAATTAAGCACCATGACATGAACACATATGATGAAGTGGAAGAATATTTTGATGTATTTTTAACCTCAGCACCAGATGGAGGTGAGCGATCAGCTTCACGCCCTGGTTGCTTTCCTTTTATCTTTCTTTTTTCTCACACCCCCCCACTATGGCTCTCTATTCCATCAGACTTTGTCCGCTTTTTCCGTTTCTTTGATCTTACCTGGTTGCTTCACCCCTAGGAAATTGTCCTAAGTATCTATCAGACAGGAGGTTGAGTGAGCCCAGACCGAGTTCAAACACAGTGGAGAAGAGAAAAATTCTCTTTCCCCTGCAAGAAACTGAATCCAAGTTCTTCAGTTGTCCAACCTGTAACCTAGTCATTATACCAACTGATAATCCCAGCCCCCAAAAATAACTTAGCATGTAAATAAAGCAAAAATTAATATTCCAAAATCATTGTCAGGGGTAAAGATATCCCTGCAACTGAACATGTCATGAAAGCACAAACAGGCCATGGATGTAAAGATTTACATATTCTGTATCTTGCAAAAACAGAGGTGAATTATCAACTTTACATTCAGGCCATTTTAGTTCATGGGACAGGGTCCCAGGTATACAATGAGTATAGAGGGATATGAGGGCCCAACACCTGTTTTGGACATGATGATTGCTAGAGACACACAGAATGTCAGATTAACTGCCTACTTCAGCCCCAGGAATGCACTGGTTATAAAGAATCGGAGTTTGTCTCCATACGGTGGCAAATAGAAAACCTCAGACCTATCAGGAATCAAACCCCAATTTTTCAGTCCATACCAAGTCATTTTATTGACTCAGCTAGCCTTTCATGACCCATAATAATCCCACATTACCCTAGTCATTATTACAATGTCACTGTACTTGCCTGCAATCGACCTTCTTCACTAGTTCTCCCACCAAGAAGCCGCACCGGCACCGGGCTTTCTGGAGGATTCACAACTGCTGTGTCATTCTCTGGTGTCTCTACTATCTCTTCTTTGAGTGTAAATCTTATATCATTTGGACCACGACCTCGTGCCTCAAATTTTCCAGCCACCATTACACCAACACCTGGTGGAAATCTGTAATTGAAAGGTGAACAAAGGTCCTTGCTACTGCATACATGTGAATTATAGTTTCAATTAAGATGAAGTTGCCCTTGGGTCTCAACATCATGCCATGAAAGAATATGGTGGGAGTAGAAGTAAAGCTCCACACACTCTTAACCTTGGTACTATACAGACAAGAATGGTCAGCTTTACACTCCTGGTTCTTAATTCCAGAAACAGCCTCTGATTGCAACTAGCTAAGAGGCTGGATGATTGTGAGAACCAATCTGGGCATTATGACAAAGAGAAACATCTCTTTCCATGCCAGGAATTGAATCTTGGTTGACCAGCCTATAAGCAGCCACCTTACTCACACAATATCCTGGCTCGTCCTAAAAGTATGATTAACTATAGATGTATGATAAAAGAACCTGAATGATTATTGGTGCTAATACCAAAGGCCAAACTGGAATCTGATGCTGAGCCACTTGAATTCAGATCTCAACCTTAGAACTACTTTCTTTAAAAATCCACTTCAGTATTATCCTACTTTTTCTTGGTCTTTCAAGTGACCAATTTGCAAAAGGATTCCCTGCCAAAATACTGCCTACATTTCTTTTCACCTATCAAAGCTATGTCCAGTTACCTTCATCCAAGAATCCTGAGTTCACTATGAAGGCGAAAAACTTACAAAAATTCCTCATTATACATTTTCCTACATTAAACATTCCATTCAGCTCTTACATTCAGTATTATTTTTTAATTGTCAATAATTGTATTTCATGCTACTCCCTGAGGGTAAGAACCCAAACTTCACGAGGATACAAAGAAATTCTGATAAATGCACACAGTCACACACGCACATGTGCAGTCTTTTTGTTCTCTCTGTATTAAAGATATTTTCACTCACATAAATTTAGAGTTTTCAACCTTCTTTCTTAATGCACAACAAAGTCAGGCTTGTGGTATCACAAAATGTACATATTACTTTTTATATATCCCAATAGTTACTTTTTCAATAGCTGATCAATTTTCATGAAACATGATATTAACAGCATGCCACTAAAGTTACTTTTATTTGTATGTTTTAATTCCTTATCAACAACAATACTAATATGCAGGCTGTGCAAATTTTAATTAAAAGGGCCCCAACATTTTTTAGTGAGATAAGATGTGAGTCTTATTAAAGTCATTTTAGTGTAGTATGCAAAATACCATGTAGAATTTTCTAGCCCTCTTGCTGCTAACTTTTTATGTGTACTGGTACAAGATCTCAAGTCCATTTGCAAATGCCTTGAAAGGCAATAATGGTTAGATTGACATAGTCAGGTTTCTTCCTACCACCCTATCACTAGTAGGTTTCCATATGAAGTTTTACCTATAATGCATATATTGATCTATGCCTACTGCTGTTTCTTCATTTGGTAACCTTTTAAAGGAGAAAGTGATTACTATGCATCCCCACAGCAGTAAATAGGTAAAAATAAGTGTTGTATTATCCTCTCAGTATTTTAAATCTGAATTTAAGATTAATAAAGACTATGTCAGTGTCTGTTCCAGCAAAAAAAAGGGGGGGGGGAATTATTTAAAGAAGACTGAATAACTTTCACTGGTCAATGAGATATATACATAAGATTATAATAACAGGTAAGTTATTTTATTATTTTGATACAGTTTTTTTTAAGATAAATGGGGATGAAGAACTTGTAATTTGCTAGCAAATACAATGAAGTTTCTAGACAATAATTCTGTGGATAGAATATGGGTTGATTTGACTTCATGGTAGGAGCATTTGACCCTTCTGCCTAAGTGCATATACATAAAAAAATCTCGCTGTATGTTAGCAATCAATAAACACTGCCAAAAGTGTTATGTTACATTATGAGCTACTTCTTTCCTTATGTAAATACATATCAGAATAAATGTATAATTAAAATATTAAATAATAATAAATTTCACCTGAGTGTAACTCCTGGCTGAAGGGTGAGGCGTCCACCTGGTCTCACATTAATATCTCTTTCCACTACATATTCACCCTGTCGAAGGTTCTCCACACCATCCACCTCTCCTCCAACTACATTCCTGCCCGTGGGATTAAACTGTGGCACAAAGGTTGGGTTTGTCATAATGAGAGTACTACTAGGATTGCTACTATGTAGCAGGAATGGAAGGTACTCTATCTTTGCAAGATTGTAGCGGTCTTTCCTGCGAACAGCGAGAAGATACATAAGAATACATCAACAGTCTTGTTCAGTGTGCCAGAGAGATTAGTTCAGTAGTAACATTTCTCACAAGTTGAGGAGGTATACAGTATGAATCTTGGTTGTGGTACAAGCCAGTGCTCCTGAAATACACTCACTCTCTTACCAAAGGTGAGTCAACAGAGACTCAGAGACAGTAATACCATGGATAAGCAGACTTTGTCATGTGGCTAAAAAATATAGAATGCATTTCTATATCCCTGGCTTCAGCTATCCTGACTAACATTGTTTACAGTTTTCCTTTTTTCTTCCATCAAAATCTGCAGCAATATTTTGAAATAAGCCATGATTACATCCCACCCAAACATTAGTTACTCACCACATATAATCATCATATCTTATCATCATATCATATATGCTAAATAACGTGCAGTTGAAATGGCATCATTAAATAGCCTCAAAACAACATGTCACAGCCTTGCACAACAAATAGTTGTATGTTGAATGAGTCTTTTACTGTCACAAAATGTTGCATCCTTATGTTGTGGATGGAAATAGTGGAAAGGAGAGGAAAACAGACAAAAATGTAGTTAATAAGTTGTAATTTACAACAGATAAGGGTCAATGACAGTCTTCTACCTAGGAGACTGAGCATATAATCAAAAACATGAGACTATAAAATATGAATGAGGATTATTTTTCATAAATAACACAACCAGCTGCTGTAATTTTGATATTCACCTTCAGTATGATTTTGTTTCACAACTGTAAACATTTTATAAAAATTCAAACACAATCATATATACATGCTTTAGGCATGATGCAGTATAGAAAGCATTCAGTACTCTTTGACCTATATCAGTGCTTTTCTCCATGCAGATATTTTGATGATATTTGTTTTGTACATAACATAAAATTTCCCCAAATCCTAGGTGTCCTTCACATTATTGCTCTTAAGAGAATATAAGCCAATACTTATAACCTGATGGTTGTTCCTCTAGCAATGAGGACAGGGCAAGAGCCCCAGTGAAAACAGTGGACCCTGTAATGGTCTGAGTGCTTTAGATGACCAGAGGTTGTCATCCCCACCCCAACCTCCCCAATGTTAGTCCTCAGTTCTCAATGTTTATGCTAGAAAAGAGAAGCATAGAGAGCATATGGGTATCAACTGCACAAAGATACACTTGACCTTTACATTATCTGAAGCAAAATTCTTCCCAGTTTTTTGTTTAAGAGGGATACGTAACAACACTGTCTAAGTTGAGACTACATATCACAGATCTCCAAATTATTTCAAAACATTCATTCATTCATCAGTAATCTGTCAAGACGACAGATCCACAGTCTCTTCCAAAACAGTTCCTCCACTTGATGCGATCTAGAGCTTTCTCCTTCAAATGAAACATCTCGCATACATGGTATCTCTGGTTTTGGAAAGAGACTATCCAGGAAAAGTGATAATGTGGTAGTTTTTCCATTTGCTTTCCACATCGCAGTACAATAGGCGTTCAAACCACTCTGGTCACGCCTGTTGCTATACGAACTTGAACCATCTCGAGCATTATTTACTCTGTGCTTCAAGTCGCTGCTGATGACGCTGCTTCCGGCATCAGTTTTTGGTGTCTCTCTTCGTCTGATGCCTACCCTTTGACCTGTCCAGCAAGGGAGGCCCTGCCAGTAGCTACGCTACCGCTGGTATAGCTCTCAGGGTCCTTGGCATACTCAAACCCCCTCACCACGATTAGGTGGAGCCACCAACGAGGGGGATTTCAAAACATATGTGCCATAATTACTGTTGCTCATTCATAGATAACAGTGAACAGCATTAATTTTAGTGGCTGCTTATACATGAAGACAAATATTAATTAACTCAAACTTATCACTGAAATGTTTTACTTCTTGTTTCTTGTTTCAAACACCAGTTCTAAGAGTAACTCTGTGATATTCATCTTGAATGGATCATCTATCGCTCAATGATGCTATATAAACTGCAGGAGAGGAAAGAATGAACAAATTAAAATTCATGGCCTGTTTCAAACTACTATCCTGTCAGTATCCATGTTTGTAGACCAGCAATAGAACAAAGTGTATCAATCTCTTACCTCATTGATATTCTGTAAGTACCACGACTCAGAAAACGTGACTAATGCCCACATAACTTCATATTACTGACCAGTCACATAGCTTACCTGTGAAAAATCCTGGAGAATATGTGGTCCTCTTTTGAAGATCCAAGCCAGTTATAGGTGCAGTTGATAACCAGACTCTGATCTTCAAGGTGTGATCCAACTTCATATGCAGATTCAAGATTCTGAAGGATATTTCTGAATATTTCTACATTGCTGGAACTTACAACCACAGGTGCTGCCACACGGCTGCGTGGAATCAACTTTGCAGGTCTGGCTTCATTCGTGTCAAATGGTTCACGAATGTGATTATCACGTACAAAATTTCTTGTGAACAAGAGAGACTGTACTTCACTATATGGTGACAGGCCAAGATTTACAACATAAATACCCTGATTTAGCTCAAACTGATTGTTCTCTATCACTAATCTAGTTGGTAAGATATCAAACTCTTCAATTGGTTGATTCTTGACTAGTATGCATCCATAAGTATGCTGACTGAAGTAATTATATTCCACACGTCCATCAACATTGAGTGCAGGCTTCAATTTCAATCCAAGTTTTCTGTTTTTTCTAAAGTCATTGTGTCCTATCTGTAACCTCAGAAGTCCACTATTGGGTTTCCAACAGGTCAGAATTTCAATTGCACTTTCCAAGCTATTGTTAAAACTATTTCCCGTGATGTTAACATATGAGTTACCACTAAAGTTTCCAACTAAAATTCCAACATCATCATTCTTGAATATTTCAGAGTATGAGACCACTGTTGTTTGATTGAATGCAATGTGCTCTGTATACAAGCTATGATTCATCCAAACTGCAATGCCATAGCCTTTATTGGAGGAGATAGAACTTCTGGTAACATTCCTGTTTCCTCCCGTGTATGAAATATTAACACCGTCTCCTATATTGAAAGATATGCGGCTCTCTGTAATATTGACATCACCCACTCCCTGGGAAATGTGAATTCCTGCAACATGGTTATTGTTGGATATGGAGCTCTGATGAACATGCAACTGACTGTGCATGTTTTCTATTGCAATCCCCCGACCATTGTTGTCTGCTATTGTTGATCCAGTAACATTCAAATCGTAAGCCTTTCCTGTAAAGCAATAATTCAGGTAACAATTCAAATTCACAAAATTTATGTAACATTGTAGCATATTTAACATTAGAAAACATCACCTCTCTAGCATCATTTCTGTTTAATACATGTTAATGAATATTAGCAAAGATACATAAGAAAACTAATAGAATTTAAGATACAGAATGGGATAAAGATTTGACACAATTATGTTCTCTAAAAGGATGATAACAAATTACAGAACACAGAAGGTTGTCATAGTGCCCTAATTCCAGGAAGTGAAGGTTCAACTTCCTAATATAAATAACCATGAGCTAGCCCAATCCATTTCACATTATCAATATCTACTTCTCTAAAATCCATTTTAACATTAATGCCACATCTCCCAGATTTTCAAAGTTACCAGTTTCCAGCAGGTCTCCCCATCAAAATTCCATATGCACCTCTTGGGTACTGTTCACATTCAGGCTCTGGTATCTTCTTTAGATATAACAACCTTAACAATGTTAGGTGAGATACAGCAATCATGAAGTTACTTGTTGTAAGATATCCTCCTCAGTTTCTCACTTACTTCATCCTACTTAGATCCAAATTATTTCCTGAGCACTTAGTTTTTAAACAACTGTTATTTATGTTCCTTCCTCAAAGTAACAGCCCACATGTCACAACTACATAGAATGAATATTAGTATGTCCCGTGTTTTTGCAGAAAGGTGTATCCTTGGGTTGTGGATGGAAATACTGGGAAGGGGAGGAGAAGTTGGTTGTGAATATATTGCAGACGTAATCTTTCACTGCCAAAAAGAGGCAGTGACACTCTTCTCAGCATAAAATCAACAATTTTGGAAATGTACATGTGGTATAACAATTCGTTCTATATTATTTAATTATCTTGAAAATCGTTAAGACCTACAGAAAGAATGTACTGGGGATAAACTTTATGTTTTAATATTCCCTACAACTTTTGTCTGTAACATCTTTCCCTCTGTTGAACATCTAATCAGCTACACTCAACATGCATGCAGAAACACATGTAGGTCTTCGTACAAGATGTCAGTTGTTGTTTTATTTAAAAAAAAAATTGAATGAATCAACAAATTTCAAATTTCAAGAAATACATTCAGTAATTCTCGAGTTGTTATATGCAGACTGGCAGGCAGACATGGCAAATCAAATATGTGCATTTTTTCAACTTTTGTTGTGAACATATCAAAATATGTCACCATAATAAATTTCTGTGTTTCAAATCTGAGTGCACAAAAGTGTATACAGAATGATGGGCTTAGAAACTGATGTACAAATACAAACAGTGTGACATAGGTGTGATTAGAAGGGTTTAGTATGGTAACATCAAAACAGAAATGAACAAGAAGGAACAGAGACCAAACTAGGATTCCATTCAATCAAAGTGACACTGGACAATGATGAAAAATGTGGTGAATGCAGAAAACACCACACCAACAATTCTTTTATAGAACACACCACAAGGTTCAATATTAAGTGCACCTTCTTCCAGACACACTGATTCTGGTAGAATGCTTGTTGCCTAAAGATGTGGTTGATATGTTATACAACAAAAATTTGTGGCAAAATCTGAGCTTTGTACTTCTCCCACACACCCTACACCATCCAGAAACATCAAAACAAGTAATAAGTTACATAAAACTACTCACTGTATCCTGAAGTGAGTTTCATATAGGCAATCATCTGTGTTCTTGCTTCTGCCTTGAACCTGATATATATAGTGTGTCTGTTAGTCACCACACTTTGAGGTCTTGTACCATTACGAATATTGACTGAAGCTAGTTGGCGTTCTGTTGGGCTTGCTCCATCAAAAACTTCAATCACAGCACTATCATTACGATCAGTCCACATCCATACAAAGTGTAACGTAAGCACATGCCCAGGTCGAGTATAGAAATACTGTAAATGCAAGAAAAAATGACTGAAACTGACATAATTACTAACAAACTCTCTAGTACTAGAAGATTTGTTATCCTGAACCTGTTCATTCCAGTTAGCTTCATATAATACATCTGGAATTTAAAACCATTTTCTATCACTGGATCACACTGCAAAATCAAACAAGCGACTACAACTGAATAATTGCTCTGGCTATCAATAAGTAGAGAAAACATCCTTTCTTAAGTTCAATAGACCTATAGTACTACAATCTTCAGGTGATGTTTTACTTTATGGACCATGAGATTCAGAGAGCTGGAAATTTCACAGATAAACAAACAGAGACTATGTCATCTGATGAAGGCTCAATATTACAATTGAATTTTTAACCTAAGGAAAAATACATTGAAACTTCAATTTTGCATTTCCAACATCTATATTTTTTCCATATTTTACACACTGTTTGTTCCTGATCAAATGCCAATAAGAACAGTGTTAGAATTGGACAATTTTAAATTTCCATAAATTTATATATATCCTAATTCTGTAATTAATTTTCTGACTCCTGACAGTGGAAATTTACATGAATTACATTTATAATCCTACATTTTGGAAGAGTCAGAGAAACACTCTTACTCTTGTAATGATGTTCTAGGTATGTCTTGGTAAAATAGACAAATTTTTGCTTACAAAGGTTTTTTAACCTCACATGAGACAGCTCAGCCCACCACAGACACAAACACAATTTTCATGCTCACTGTCATATTCTGGTAGATACAGCCATTTGTTTTAGCAGGAGCTGATGACACCCACAGGAAGCTATACTTATGATAAGTGATAAAATTAGTATTAGAGTATGGCTCTGCTTAAAGAAAAAATATTATATGCAGGTTGCTGTGTTTACATTTTGTTTTATCTTCAAACATGCATATTTTAAATACTGTCACATGTATTATTGACTTTAGACACGGGTTTGGATTGGCGACTCAATTTATTGAATATTCACCAGGCGGAACTAGAATTAATTATAACTCTTTCAATCTTACTATAACTATAACACTTCATGTCTACAAACAATCATAACACTCTAAAGGTTACTGTAACTACACCAGATAAAATGAAGACTTCACTTCTGACTTCTGTGTCTGATTTTCACGACTCATTCCCGGTTATACTGTTAGGCAGCCATGATAGCAGACCCTGCCTTGAAGGATGTCATTTTGCATAAGATAATTCTAGCATAAACTATGACAGGAACACAGAGAGAATGTCAGTGGGCCCCATGTTGTGAATCCTGTACCAAATATTATCCACATGGAAATGACTAAGGCAGAAGAAAACACACCTTTGAACATTCTCGTCCTGCTGGAGCATACTTGTTCTGCTCCACTGTGATAGATATAGGGAATGTCTGACTGTTAGTTATGGGAAATGTGCAGAAATCAACAATGTTGGTCCTTTGAAACTGCACATCTGCCAGTTCATCATGATGAACAAATCTGATACCATCAGCACCATTTTCTTGTATCATGCATCCATTCAAATATGCAAGGTCTGATGAACTGTTCAGATATAAGCCATACCCTGGAAAAGACAGTACAGTCCTGTTTACAAATGTGTATCCACTGGAAACTTTTAATTGGAATGTATTATTTTGTATTTGGAAAACATCTCTTTTTATCCACAATTCATACATAATCACAATCATGCAGAATATTTGTAGGCAATATATATAATTAAATGAGAGTTGACTGGTATACTCCAATTTGAAGTACACATATTTTCAAAAGGAATTCTTTCAACTTTTGCCTCACTGCAGTGATGATGAATGTCTACATGATCCCACCGACAAACTTACCCCTGTTCCACTTCAATGTACACTGATTCAGAGTGACAGGAGCATCAGGCATGGTTATATTTATACCATTATATGCAGAGTATAATACAGAAACTCCAGTCATTTTTGGAGGAACTCCCTCGACATGGATAGCAGATGTGGCATTGTAGTCACGTCCAGAACCCCCAAATCTGCAAACAGTTTTGTAATTGGTACAATTAGCCATTTTCTTGCAGCTAATTTCCAAACAGTCTTTCTCAATCAGAAACATTGCAAACATATTCGAACTCTATCTTAATAGAACCCAAAAATTCAGTATTGATTTTACCTCACAGTTCACATAATGATTAATCTTGACAAACAACTAACCGAATATCCACATAAGCCATTTCAGAGAGTGATCTGCGCACATACAGGGTATTCTCCTGAGTAAGACTGCGCTCATAACTTGCTCCTTCAAACTTAACTCCTCTCCAGTGCTGAACAATGTCCGATGATGTGACATGGTATGGCAAACACTGTATTCCAAGGTCAGGATGGTAGTCTGAAAAACATCAGAGGATATAATGCATCTTCACAGTAAATGAACACAATAAAACATGAATCTGCACTTTCACTGACAATGTCTTCTGTTAATTTGGTAGTCACGCTGATGTCAACAAGCCAGTACCCTCAATCCTACATTGTTTCTTAATGGAACATTATTTCATTGGTGAGACTTGTAATTATATATTTCAGGGAAGTGTTTAATGATACTAATAATACACTGACATTTTCCTCAAATATTGTTTTAGAAACTGGCTATACTTATTGAGGTTTTTGATGATTATCCTCAGTCCCTCCAGGCAAACGCCAAGATAGGACTTAAAACAGGACTATAACTACTTCCTTCCTCTTCATTTCCAAATTGTTGCTTGCTGATCATCGTACCATTCTATGGTATGTAGTCTGAGAAATTGAAACTGTTGTTAAACAAACCATATATTTATAAAATTTCCCAGCTTCTTGCATGTGTGGGCTGCAGGAAAATTAAAAAACCGTGATATCATATCAGGATAATATTAACCTTTTTCTAAGCATAACATGGCAAAATATTGCAAATTTAATCTATTCCGCTGGAATTAACGTTGCATTTGTAGTGCATGAGATGGCATTTAATTTAACTAGCTTGATGGTTTTAGGATACAATGAATTTAAATGGTGAAACAAATGGTTACATTCAAATAATCGGTCACAAAATAAATGTCTGAAACCTTTTAAAATAATAAAGTTAATCTAAATTATTGATAAAGGTCAAAAGACAAAGTTCTCTGCCTAAACTCCATGGCACAAAGATGTATAAAGGCGTGAAGGTAATCATTAAATTGCTGTGGATCACAGGACTAAATTAAAGTGAGTACCCAGTTATTTGTTCTGACTACATTAGGTTCACTGAAAAAGGACCCTCACTGGTTAGGCTGGATGATCCCCCAGAGTTGGTTTAAATGTAGAGGTTCTGTAAACTGAACCTCCAGCCCATTCCCAATATCCTAAATGACATTTATTTCAACATGTAGGATATAACACTAATAAACCCTCTCCCAACAACCAGATTCAGTTAGAAACTAAAGGTTTTCGGAAGAAAGGGCCAAAACCTATGATGATAACAAATATGGTTTATTTAAAACTCTGCTTTAAAAATCTACAATGAAATGAATATTTCATCAAATCTGAGGTTAAATTTTACTTCATTTGTAATGGTATTATAAAGTGCATAATTTTGCAGGCCTGCACTAAAAAAGCTAACAGAGTTATCCCAGAAGACTGTAATCTTAATAGTTCTAACACACTGAAAGCCTCAGATCTCAAAAAAATCCATGGTTTCAGTCCACAAGCAAACTATACCGACCAAGTGACTACCACTTGTCGGCAAAGTTAGTGCCAAATTTAGCAGATTGAGCTTGTCACATCGTCAGTGCAATGAATCCCCACGACCGTTAATTTCGGTTTTCTAGACCAGAGCCGCTATTTCCTCATGAGATTGAGTGGACCCTGTTCCTGACCCATTACATCTCAGAAAATATGGCAGGGCTGGGAATTGAACCCAGACCTCTGGAACTGTAGCTAGAAAGCCTCAGACCTCATCTATTAATATTATCCTCCCATCTCCTTCTCAGTCTTCTAAGTGGAATTTTTCGAAGAGATTTACAAAAAATCGTGACCTCCCCTCATCCTGGCTACATGACCAGCTCATCATCCCCTTACTGATTTGAAAAGCCTATATTTAATTCAATGTCTATAATGTCTCCATTTGCAGGGTCAGTCTTGAAAGTGAAATTTCTTTGTATGCTTGCAGACTATTAGTGTGCTACATTTTCACTTGTTCATAGATGTTAATTCTATGTCGTGTTTCAACATGTTTCAACTGTAAAGCCATCATCAGGTAGATAATTTCTGATAACAGCTGTACTGTATTACTTTTTCTAGTTGACTCTTCTAAAACTCAGTTAAAATTAGTTTCTGACATTCCATGGTTTCTTTCGTTAAGTGCTGTCTTGTTATAGTGTAGAGGAGTTGTGTTGTATGTGAGGTCTATATTCAGCACAAGATGCTACTGTGTAACTTCTATGGATAGTGGATGATTACACTCTACAAGAATAACAAGAAATAGCCCTTGAAGATTGGCCCTGAAAATTAAATTTGTAAATGGTGAAATGGGATGCTGAAATGCAATATTAACTTTAAAACTTCAATAAAATAATAATGAATTGGTAGCTACTGACTTTTATTCAGCAGGAATGTGATGCAAATATCATCAACTGACCCAGCTACTCTGAAGGATTTTACTGTATTCTGATTCCCTACAGTGAATACTGGAATAAGTCCTTAAAACATGTAACAAGTATTTCCTTCGCCATCCATTTCCATTCATTATTATCTTACCACTTCTCAAGTGATGTTATATAAACATAATGTAGATGTACAACAAATTATAAAAACAAATGAAATTGAAATGTCAACAAACATTAGTTCCATTTCAATAAGAATACATAGGTCAAATGAAAAAAAATATATATATCATTATTGCTTCTGTGAATATGACAGTAGATTTTCAAACACTTTCATATATGTTTTACAATCATCTGATGTACCTTCAGCTAAATATAAATTGAATGGGTGCACTCAAATCTGAGAATTCATATTTTCAGAAGAGTTCTTTGTGATTTTTCTTACTACACTGGCCCAGATTTTCATATACTGGATATTAAAATATATTGCTGTAATACTGATAACATTAAGGTATATTACAAATTAATTTTCCTTTTATGTTGCTAAATATTTGCATGTCTAAAAATGTTTAAAGTAATAGTTACAGATCTCATTATGTACAAATTATTCATATTTGGAGCCATTCTTGAGATAATCAATGAAAGTTTCAATTCAGTTTAATTTAAAGTTGAGGTTATATTGGATGAACATCAGCCAAAAAAAATCTTCGTATTACTGGTCATTCTTCAGAAAATCAAGGAAAATTCAGCTTCATTTAGAGTTGGAATCACATTGGACCAAGAGGGGTCAAAACAAAATCTTACTTTCTGTTGAACTGATGAAGTATGTAGACATATCATTATACATTAATTTTATGTATCTCATGCAAAGAACACATAAAAATGATAAGAAAATATTGTACTCTACTAGGTCATTACACTGTGTAAACAATTTTACAGAGCTGCATAGACGAAAGTGGCAACCACTCAAGCGTGGCACCATTACTGAACAATAAACAACAAAAAAACATCCTCCTGCTCTGAGGTAGGGGACTGTACTAATCAAAAAAATCTCGCATTATCCTGCCTAAAAAGTAAATTTTATTAAACTCCTCAGGTAAGAGGGTAAACATAATGTTCTGATTATCCTTAATTAGCATAATCAAGTAACTATATTCTTAATCTGAGAAATTTTTTGTACACTGTATCTCATTTCACAGCTTCACTATATCCTGGTGTCCTGCCCTGTAATGAAATGTAATGTCTAACCTTCACCTAGCTCCTCCATTAGCTTGTCATGCCAGGGAACCACAACCCATCCACCCATCAGAGTAAAATCTTGCCTTCCACCCATTCACTGCATTAAGATATCCTGCCCTGTCTACAAACTTAGAATAATAGTGACATGACCAAAAAAACTAAAATGTTACTGGACAGCTGTTTGAAGTTCTGTACTGTATCCACAGTTACATGTTTACTTTCTAAGAACTTAATCAATAAATAACAAAAGGAAAGAAGCTCCAGATATGGCCCCTTTATACTAACGTAAAACCAACTTAATCTTCCAAATAGGGCACTAATTTCTTTTTGCGGGCTTATTATTCTAGTGTGCTGTCCTATACTCCATAACTTACAATGCCTCATCCCAGTCCACACATTGCTCTCCCTTGCCTAAGCACAGATTCCTATACTGCCTCAACAAAACCCTGCCCTTACATATTCCTTAACCAAGATTCCTTTCCCTGCTCAAGCCCTTAGGTCTTGTTTGGGCCAAGCCAGGCTCACAGACTTTTCCATGATCTTAGGCCACGCACAGATCCTTCCCCATTCCCATGATCCTACAAATATCATTACCATCTCCAGATGTTCTCATTTTTTGCTCATATCAATATTCTACCAAGGCAAAAATTGTTCAAGAGATTAACATTTATGAATTTCACTTTGAACATCTTTTGGTATGGTGTTTAATTAATTTAAAAATATATTAGTGCCTCTATGTAATGTAGTATTTTAACTGTTAAATACTTCTAATAATCTAGTAATTATAGACCTATGTAGTGCAGTACTTATGTTGATTAATTATAAATAATAGAATTATAGTTTCGAATAAATAAAAATCAAGGCCAATAGGAACAAAGAATCACATAGAATGCATGTGAATATTCCAGACTAGAAACATTCATTATTTATATTGTTTTTCAGGCCGTGCCATAGCTCAAGCAGTTAGTCGCTGGCTTCCCACCATGGCAGCCCGGGTTCAATCCTGGGTCTGGTCAAGTGGGATTTGTGGTGGACAAAGTGGCACGGGGGCGGGTTTTCTCTGAGTACTTCGGTTTCCCCTGCCAATCTTCATTCCACCAATTGCTCCACAATCATCCTCACCTATCATCTGGGGCTGGTACAATAGGCCAGAAGTGGCTGCAGTACAAGGAACTTAGTCCCACCCTACTAGCAATAAAAAAATATTGTTTTTCAAAATGACTATGACAAAGATTTAGTAATTTCTCTAAACTCTGTGCAAGGGACAGCATGTAACTAATGCAATTGTCAGTAAGATTGTTAAATTATATTTTAATACATTCCATGTTTGTCATGACTGAGTTAGAACAAGGACAGGCCAGGTACATGTTGTATGAAACAAATCAGACCTCTGCAGGAAAGTAGTTATAGTTCTATTCTCAAGATAAAGGTTAATTATGTGTATCATATGAAGCTGACTGAATCAAACACAAGTACATTAACTGAAAAAAAAAATAATAAATGACAAGAAGCCCCAAGACTGGAGAGAGACATAAATGTCTATGCACTCATGCTAAGAAGACAACTCTCTGTGACAGCACTCACCACAGACACCTGCCCCCAGTTGTCTACTTGACCAGTTACACTCAAATAAAGATGTTTCTGTGCCCCTGCATTTGGGTTCCTCAAAGAGCAATCGAGGTTTGAAACCAGGCTGACGGTCAACCCAGCCCCACAATGCCCCTCCTTGAAATCCAAGCTGTCTACATGCTGTCTCTAGGTCAGCTCTTGTCCAACTGAAACACAAGCACATTGCTTGGGTGATACTGGAATCTTTAGCAGTATTTGTTGATAATATAGTGGTTCTGAGCGAGAATGAAAAAGAAATTTAAAGGTAGCGAACCATGTGTAGAAGAGCATTCAGCGTAAGGAGACCTACTGATATTGCAATACATACTGATACAGCTCTATACATTTTATGCGTTTTCCTTCCCTCCTATGCCATGCACTTCTCTTCATCGCTGGATTTTGTTAGACCTATTTCAATTTCTTCTTCCATCCCTCTGCTACTGTAAGCAGATACTTACTAATATATTTGAAGATAAATATGTTACAGTTAATAATCCTACCAAAAATATTGTTCCTTTTTAGCCTATTTCAACTTTTTTCGTTTTAAATTCTCTTTCTGCCCACATTTTCAGTATAAACTGAAGAAACAACAAAGTATGTATATTACTCATTGTGAATGGAACTGATCTACATTATATATACATATGTGTACAGTGTTTTTTCCTATGGAATTCCTAAGCAAGAAATAAAATATTACAAACCGATAACTCATATAAGAATTCAGTTTTAAATATAAATATCTAAATATGCTTATATTTAGAGGGATTAAATATAGCATATCCAAATCTTAACTGCAAGAATTCTGGCATATGAAGCATGAATAATAAAATATAAAATTAAAATAAATTATAATTCAATTTTATTTCTTACATCAAATTATTTTAGTATATTAATTCAACTGTATTAATAACTGATGTCATAACATTTATTTATTTTAAATTACCTTGATTTGTAATGAGAAAATGTACATAGAAGTAAATAAATATATAAATTAAAATAAATTGTATTTTAAATCTATCTGTTACTTCAAATTATTTTGGCATGAAAATTATAATTTATGACGTTTCATAATGAGGAACTTCTTATACAGGTCATTTATAGTATTGCTAGGATAGTGAAGTCATGAAATCTTGAGGGACTGGACATATGACTGGAATGGGGGACACAAGGAACACAAGATAAGTTTTGGTTGTAAGAGATTTTTGAACATTTCCTACGTGAAACAGTGATAAAGATGTGGAAGGATAAAAATTAGGATGGCATTGACCCTTATGATTTTATTACTACAATCTTAGTTATTAAAATGCACTGCACTGTTACCTCAATTTCAGCTCAAAATCTGGACATTTCTGGAATATAGGATTTCTGCATAACCTGTTTAAGTACACAAGGCTGTGGTTCTCTTCTTTTTTGTATCATAACGCACTTCAGATCTTCTAACATCCCCATGTTCCTTCCATTCCCCATAACATGATCATTTATGTTTTGAGGGTTTCTATAAAAAATACTTGCTTATATAAGATCAATGAGGAATTTTATGTCAAATACTTTTACACTTTTTTATTGTCTCAGTGCAGTGACAGGAAACAAGAGTCTGCACTTTAGCTGGAATGACTGGAATATGATAAACCATTCCTTGTGTCATAGAATTCTACATATCTGCCTAACCTCAGCAGAAATGCTAAGTACATTTCTACATATATTCACTGAATTCATAACACTTGAGTTTGGGTCATTTTGTTGCCAGTGATAAATCGACTGTCATTGCATAAAAAGGTTTATAGTGTCTGAGATAAAACCTATTTTGGTCTAAAATATTTTGTGCAGTGTTGCGGTCTATAATACTTTGCGCCTTCCACTCCTGGAATCCTCTTGTCACCCAGATGTGGTAGGGCCCCTACAGGTAATAGGGGGAATGCAATACTCACTTCCTTGAATTTGTACAGACTGATCGCCACTGACTGTTGTGGAGAATCTGCAGCCTTCCTGCTAGTATGGATGGGCCATCCACTAATCGAAGTTGTGACAGTGTTAGAGACTCTTTTGGTTCTACAACACTTGTGAGAACTATGTGATCATCTGGGAAACCCTGTAACATAAAAGACTATGTTTAATAATACAAAACTATGACAGTAAACCCACAGTGTCATTTTCTTACATACTGCAATAACATAGCTCACTTTTCTATGACTAAGCAACAAGCCACTGAAAGTATATTTGACTATACATGTTGTAACAGTACTTTGAGGTTATATATTAGCATAGGTTATGTAATGGAGCCATGAGGTCGTGAGTATGAGTATCCAAAAGGCACTGAAAAGGACATTATGTCAAATTTCAAATGAAGTGTTCTTCCTTGTGTAGGTTATTAAAAAAAAGTCAGGAACTTTGATTTCTACACAAATAAATTTGCATACCGTTATGCCCTTATGTCATAACAAATTAAGATTTCGAACTTAGGGGACCCAAGGCACCCCGCCGAACTATGGAAGTGAAGAATGCTGGTGAACAAACACTGCTTGTCCAACGTGTGGCAACACTATTGTAAACGCTGAACCAGCAGTTGTGACAATTGTAGTAAACTCTGTTTACTGAAAAGTATGAAGAAATGACTTGTAGCAGTAGCAATCCTTAAGTCGGTGACTGAGCAGTCTAATATCGAAACATAATACGAGTTGCTACGATAGGCTATGCCCCATAGCCTACCGACGCCGTAATTATTACGCCACGGGGGAAACCACACCAGGAGAGCCATGGGACACGACCTGTACCACTTCTTCGTCATTGCAGTGTTCTGAATCCAAAGTAAGTGAATCCACGTCGTGTTACTGGCGACCAGAGAGGTGGTTATAGGAACCGACCTAAAGCCAGATAAATATGGTATTGTGCAACTTAACTCACCCACAAATGAGTATGCAGATAATGTAAATAAACGTAGGCAATAGCGGGTCCCCCAGTGCTACAAGTTTATTCCACAGAATTCTAACCGCCGAAGGATCAGAAACTCTACCAATTGGAGATAAGATTCGACCACGACCCTGAACCCCCTCACTGAAGGACCCCCAGTCCATACTGCCCTTTTAAGAGCGTATAGTTTTCTGGAGTGGTTGACGCAACCTGGACTGTCGCCCCAAGGTCTGCAGCAGGTGACAGCAGTTGAGATAGTACACCACTGCTTAGCACATATCAAAATCTTTATACTATTTCCATTTTAATATTATGGTGGTGTAACTGTTAACTAAATTCAATTCTCATTCCATTCAGGATCCTTAAAATAGTTCGTTTAATATTCAGATGGTCCGCCAAACAAAATCCAAGCAGTAAGTGGTCCTTGGTCCAAAAATTTTGAAAAACGCCTAATCTGGTTCGCAGTGAATTAAATCCGCAGTCTTAAACTGAGGCTCGTTTCATGCATTAGGGGCCGACGATGGTTCTGGTTCAGCGCCAACTTTGATCACACTTCACTACAGTTCAGGTCCGCACAGTTCAGGCTCTTGCCATTTCAAGGATCACTGTTTCCGACATTATCGTCGAAATTAATTATACACCCTCATTCACGAACTTCCCCTCCCTTCGTATTTCCCCAGAAATATGGCCATTTTTGTAGATAGCCACCCTCACTAAACAACTGTTGGGAATGGTGTGCATGAGGGTGAGATATAATGACATAAATAATGAACCCCTCCTTTTGCGTATCTTAACAGCGGAAACAAAAAAGCAGGAAGTGAAGCGAACCCCATGGTCGAGCCGGTTTCCAGCCTGTAGCCAGCCGAGTATGAATCTGCTGGAACAGTGAACCATACCACGCTGACCTCATAAACAAATGGAGGATCTACAGAATGGCATATCCGATCTGTTAATTACCTCTTCTCGCCTTTGGTATGATTTTCCATACTCATTTCTTCAATTCCGCTTTCCGCAGTACAATATAAGTGTGCTATGATCTCGATTTGTCTCAGTAACCTAGCCCATTAAAGAGGCAGGAACTTCAAATGAAAGACTCCGTTATCTTCTACTCAACCCGAGCTGACCGTTATGTCCGTACAAGAGGAAACGGAAACGCTGCTTACATAAGTAGACATTGCAGATGACAGAAAAAAAATCTGCATAGTGGGGGGGGGGGGGGAGCCCAACTGGGTCCACTCGGCATGGCGCCCACTGATTGGCCTGTTGTACCTGCCCCGGGTGATTATGATTATGGAGAATTTGGTGGAATGAAGATTGGCAGGGAAACCAAAGTACTCGGAGAAATCCCGCCCCAGCGCCACTTTGTCCACCACAAATCCCACTTGACGAGACCCGGGATCAAATCTGTGCCGCCGAGGTGAGAAACCGGCGACTAACCGCTTGGGCTGTGGCGCGGCCCTGCAGATGACAGAAGCTGATGACCCACTGCTTTCCAGCCATGCTCAATGAAATTGCCGTTAAATATAAAAATGGTATTTGTTAAAATTAATAACTGCAATGAATGTCAGGTGCCCTTTCTCACTTGTTTTTCAAAATTAAATATTATAATAAATTAATAACAACTTTTCCTTTGCTCTGCATTGTTATAAAAGCTTACGTCTCACCGATATATGTATATAATTTAAGCCATAAACATATATCGGTGTGACGTAAGCTTCCCAGTAAATGCAAAGTATGCAAGACTCAGAACGAAGACTAGAAAAGAAAACAAGCACTGTGATTATTTTACGAACAATTCTGAACGCTCCAAAAAAGCAGTGATTGAATGTGGACATTTTTCATTCAAAATAGATATCAAGATTGTTATTATTTACTAATAAACCGGCATTGGTAATATGCCCTAGTACAGATGGTCAGTAAAAAGCGGTGACCATGTTAAGGTATTAATAATAATACCTAAGAGCTACTTTCCCCTACAGAGAGTATAAAAAGGATTATAAAAATCGAGAAGGCTTATAAAGCTGTCGGTACCCACTGGCTAGGATGTGCAGGATAAAAAACTAAATTAATGAAAATACAGATTTTGACAGACGAAACTGGATAATTTCAGTAACTCCTAATCAAACTTAACATCTGGTATCTGACGTTCATACACGGTGGGTATGAACGGGAACGTCGACAAACTTCTACCAGACTGCACGACGTCATATCCCAGAACTTTAATATCATCATCGTCCGTTGCATTATCAGGCCTTCTGAGATCTGTTGGGGGCACACGGTAGCATAGTTGGTCGAGACTCTATGCTACAAGACGAAAGATCGCGAATTCGAGTCCCGATTTCAAGTGACCTAATCCTTCCTATAGCCCTGGGGTCGACTCACTAACAGAAATGAGTACCAGGAAGATTCCTGGTGGAGTAAAGCGTGGCCGGCGCGTAAGGCTGACAACCTTACCGCCATCTGTGAGCCGACTGTCTGGAAAATGTGGGAGCCTCGACCTCTCACACCTGTATGGACCTTCACGACCTGTTACAGAGATAGCTTTACTTTACTTTCACTTTTTACTGAGATCTGTTACGGATATTACAAAAGACAGACATCCATCGTTTCAGAAATCTTCGAATGTGTCGGGATATGAACAGACACTCTCACATGAAATGACCTGAAAGCAAAATGAAACTTGACACATACAGGCAGTTGCAACACAGGTTCTGTGAACATCTGTGGGTGGACTGGATATGTCCAACAAGACACCACGGTTCAGGGCCACCAGAAGCGAAATAACCAAACCTCACAAGGTTCAGAGAGAGAAGCGAGAGAAGCGAGAGAAGCCGAATTAGAAATATAAACGCACTAAACCTGGATGAAACCGCAATGGCCATGAACTTACAATTCGCAGAACGATAATATATGGGCGCGAGAGTAAGACCAAGGCTGCAAGTTATGTTTACAAATCATCATCATCAAGGTGCGCAGAAAAGGTACAAACAAGAATACCCGTGGGTTATGCAATGAAGTCTACCGTGTCCTTGACGTTCAATTTAAATACGACATAAATGGCTAGTAACTTGCTGCTGTCTGGTTACTGGCTGCCTGTATTGACAAGTTGCTCCTGAGCTCCAGCACCACGCCATGCAGACGAACGGGGAAGTACTCTTAGCCTCTGTGTTAGATGGAGGCGAGTGTCAGCTTCATGCTCCGGCCTCTTCCACCCCAGGGAGCTGCTGGCACCTGCTGTGTAGGAGCCCAGAATAGGTATGGATGTCATAGCGCAAAGAAACCCCGTAATTCCAGCTGGGAATAGAACCTGTTGTCCAACCCGTTGGCGAGATAAATAGGCATTTATTTCCAAATATGTAAAATATCTGCCACTATATATATATATAAAAGGTGACGCTATCCCTGTAACAGTCCATGTAGGCCCATAGGGTTGTGAGACGTCGAGGCTCCAACATTTTCTTGACAATCGGCTCATAGATGGCGGTAAGGTTGACAGCCTTAGGCGCCGACCGCCCTTTAACCCCAGAAAGATTCCCGGCACTCATTTCTGTTAGAGGCTGAATCGACCCCAGGGCCATAGTGCGACTGGAAGGATTAAGTAAACTTAAAAATCCAATTACCTCACTGGGAATCGAACCCCCGACCTTCCGACTTGTAGCACTGTGCCTGAACCAACTACGCTACCTCGTGTTCAGGAATAAGTCTGATAAAAGGCCTATAGCTGCCCTAATATGAGGCCCTCCACAATCAGCTTTTTAAGTGATCATTTTCCAAGTTAGGGATGGGTGTGTCTTATATAATGCAGGTATATTTATGAAAGCAATGTGCAGCTTTAAGCCAGATGTCAATAATATTATTAAATCCCTTACAGAAACACAGTATTTGCTTTGCCTCTGTTGCACTTGAGGCAATTTTTTCAACAGTTTCGCTGACTGCATCACATACTCTTGTGCATCTCTGGAAGGAACTTCCCTTCCAAGCCATACTTGTGAGAGCTGATGGTATGGTACCAGTTAGTAAAAAAGTAAGTAAAGCTATACCTGTAACAGGCCGTAAAGGCCCATAGGGTTGTGAGACGTTGAGGGTCCCACATTATCTAGACAATCGGCTCAAAAATGGCGGTAAGGTTGTCAGCCTTACTCGCCTGCCGCGCTTTACTCCCCAGGAAAATTATTTAATTCC